ACACAGTTGCTCCAGAAAAATTGTGTTTCAGTGGTATCCTGCCTCAAAACCTGTCTTAACACGTAGATTAACGTTCATGGCCTAACATGTAGATTAAGCCACATTTCTACGTTTCCATCCTAGTCACTATCGTTTGCTAGATAACATCTTCCCACTGACAGTGGGGCAAGCACTGCATTCGAATCACTTCCTATGTCAGCGTTTCTTTATAAATTAAGTATATTCTCCACTTTCTGAGCAACAGGTCCTCAAAGCAATTTACGTTTTAAAATATGATAGCGTCTTCTTAATCACCGCCCCCCCAGTGCTTGAAAAGCAACTAGTTCTGCTCCAAACATGAACACATTCCAGTTTAAATTCATCCCTCTATGAAAGGAGCTAGTTCGTTACCGTTCTGTTCATAAAAGGTAAAGGTAAAGGTACCCCTGCCCGTATGGGCCAGTCTTGACAGACTCTAGGGTTGTGCGCCCATCTCACTCAAGAGGCCGGGGGCCAGCGCTGTCCGGAGACACTTCTGGGTCACGTGGCCAGTGTGACATCGCTGCTCTGGCGAGCCAGAGCCGCACACGGAAACGCCGTTTACCTTCCCGCTAGTAAGCGGTCCCTATTTATCTACTTGCACCCGGGGGTGCTTTCAAACTGCTAGGTTGGCAGGCGCTGGGACCGAACAACGGGAGCGCACCCCGCCGCGGGGATTCGAACCACCGACCTTTCGATCGACAAGCCCTAGGCGCTGAGGCTTTTACCCACAGCGCCACCCGCGTCCCTTGTTCTGTTCATAGCTAACTTTAAAAAGGTAAAGGGACCCCTAACCGTTAGGTCCAGTCGTGGACGACTCTGGGGTTGCGACGCTCATCTCGCTTTACAGGCCAAGGGAGCCGGCGTATTTAAGTTCATCTAAATACCACCGAGCTAGTGGCAGATCCAGAGAGTTCTCTGTGAAGAAGGATTCATTGCTAAACTACTCTGAGAATTGGGAACAGGGCCCCCTTAACAACTTTCAGCACCTCTAACAAACTACAGCTCCCAGAATACTCTGGGGGAAGCCATGACTATTCAAAGTGGCATGGTAATGCTTTAAATGCATAGTGTGAATTTGGCCCTGGTCTAGCACTCCAGTCAGTGGCTGCTTCAGTTTTTCCTTTGTGAATGTGATATAAGAACAAAGCATTCCCTCTGAGGGGAGAATGTGGCGTTAAGCCTGGCGTTTCTTTAAAGTCTGCCTGCTGCACCTTGTTCTGCTGAAGAGGCAAGCGTCTATTCCGTTTCAGCTGAAACTGAAAAGTGGCTAGGCTCTTCAGCATGCGGCGGAGACCTTGAAGAAACCCTTTGCCTCTTCATAATTTTCCTTCTCCCTCCTATTACTTTCCCCGTGGTCCCAAGAACGCCCTAAAAGTTCATCCAGGAGTTGGACCCTGTTTCAGAACTTCCTTGTCCCTCGGTGCATGTGCTATTAACGTTATTAACAGCTAACGACCCACAGCTTCTCACAAACACTGCCTCCATGAGCTCATACCAGTCTAAGTCGAGGTAACCTTAAACTGAAAAGAGATTGGGGGGGGGTCACCACTATTTATGACTGTCAAGCGGTGATTAATGACCAACCAGCTCAAAATTGCCTTTAATGCCAGCTCAGTATTGTTGCTTGTGGCAGTTAATGAGGTTAGACAGACTTTTTACACAGCACTTTATACAGCAGGGTTGCAGAGTGGGGACGTGTCTCCTGCAGAGCTTAACACAACCACCAGATTCCCTGGGCAAGGAGCTAAGAACCTTTGATTTCCCCTTTAAGACAATAGACAAAGAACCCAAGCAACTGCCAAGGGCAGTGTCTGTCCACCTGTTTGAATCCAGTCACACCCCTCCCATGCCTTTGTCGCTGGAGTTTGGAGCAGGCCAAGGAAAGGTAAAGAAATAAAATATTGCACCTCTATGCATTAAAGGGGGGGGGTTGCTTTCTGGCCCTGCCTCTGCAGACAGGCTGGAGTCAATAGTGTTAATGAGAATATTTCAAAGACCTTTGAACTTGTCTCGGTTTGTTGGCTCGTAAAAAGTACAGAGTGATTTTTCACTGGCTCCAAAACAGCAAGGTGTGTCTTGGGAGGGGGTTAAAAAAAAAGTTATTGAAGTGCTGGAAGAGTTGTCTCAGCTGCTGATATGCTACCAGGACAAGTTAAAGTTATTGCTACTGGTATATAAAGCCCTGAATAGCTGGAGACCAGATTACCTCCAGGAACATCTTACCTAGTATAACCCTGGCAGGTCACATAAATCAACAGGAGAAACATTCTTGGTTTGTGTTGGGTGATGTGATCCGTGATCTTGCACATTTTATTTTATTATTTTTTTGGTTTCTTTAGCTTGCAAACCGCCTTGTGCATCGCAGTACAGAGAGGTGGTGTACAAATTAAAAGTGGGACGCAATTATTTCCATTAATTATTATTATTTATTAAATTTGTATTCCGCCCTTCATCCAAAGATCACGGGGAGGTTTGCAGCATAAAAACACAAAATGAGACCACAAAATACATAGCAAAAACAGAACAGTAACCCCTCCTCTCGCAAGCACATTTAAAAGGCCATAGATTGATTAATCAGCCAAAGGCCTGATTATAGAGGAATGTTTTCGCCTGGCACCTAAAGATATGCAATGAAGGTGCCAGGAGAGCATCCACAAACGGGGAGCCGCCACAGAAAAAGCCTGTTCTCATGCTGCCACCCTCTAAACTTTTCATGGAGGCAAAGCTACAGGGAACCAGGCAGAGGGCCTTCTTGGTAGTGGCACCCGCCCTGTGGAACACCCTCCCATCAGATGTCAAAGAGATAAACAGCTACCTGACATTTAGAAGACATCTGAAGGCTGTTCAGGGGAAGGTTCAGGGAAGTTTTTAATGTGTAACATTTTAATGTATTTTTGATCTTTGTTGGAAGCCACCCAGAGTGGCTGGGGAGACCCAGCCAGATGGGCGGGGTATAAATAATAAGTATTATTATTATGATTATGGAGGGGGCACACAAAGAGGCACCTCACATGATGGTCTCAGGGTCCCGATTGGTTCAAATGAAATGTTATCATTGATTGCATTTATTAATTCCTTCCGTGAAGCATCTCAAAGCAATATACACTATAATGAAAACAAGAATAAAATAGTTGAACACACACACACACACACACACACACACACACTACTTTTTTCCCTGATGGGTCTTGAGGCAGCTACACAGAATTGTAGAATTGGAAGGGGATACAAGGGTCATCTAGTCCAACCCCCTAAAATGCTGGAATCTCAGCTAAAGCACCAATGAAAGATTGCCCCATCCATCCAACCTTTGCTTAAAAATCTCCAAGGAAGGAGAGTCCACCACCTTCTGAGGGAAACCGTTCCACAGTCAAGCAGCTCTTACGGTCAGAAAATGCAGGAGAAAACGAGTCTTATGTTTTCATACCTTGACTGTTTTGTTGTTATTATTGTTGGTGTTTGACCTATTTGTGTAAAGTGAAACTACACAAGTACAGCAGGCATCCTGCTGCTGGCATTTGCCCTCCAATATGTGGAGGAACGCGGGTGGCGCTGTGGGTTAAACCACAGAGCCTAGGACTTGCCGATCAGAAGGTCGGTGGTTCGAATCCCCACGACGGGGTGAGCTCCCGTTGCTCTGTCCCAGCTCCTGCCAACCTAACAGTTTGAAAGCACGTCAAAGTGCAAGTAGATTAATAGGTACTGCTCCAGCAGGAAGGTAAACGGCGTTTCCGTGCACTGCTCTGGTTCGCCAGAAGCGGCTTAGTTATGCTGGCCACATGAACCGGAAGCTGTATGCCGGCTCCCTCGGCCAATAAAGCGAGATGGGTGCCTTTACCCTTTACCCTATGTAGAGGGCATCAAGCACGGGGCAGAGGGATGTGTGGCCAATGAAACCCATCAAAACGAATTGACTTAAGTAACAGTGCAGTCCTAACCTTGTCTATTCTCTAGGTCTCTGCTGGGTGCCTGTTTTGTATTATTTCTGCTTTGTTTTGCTTAAATATGCCTCTTGTTTTTTGAATTTTAAACCTTTTCCCTTTTTTTTTTGCTGATTTTAATATACCTTGAGACGCTTGTGTGGCACGTGAATAAAAAATGATAGTACCCCGAGATATGTATCAGGAGATGGCACGACGGCTCTGCTAATGTCTCCTTGTAGATTTCTTTTATTTCTGGAGTTATTACTAATAATATTTACCTTTGCACCACTAGGTCACATCTTGATGCTGTTAACCATGGATCAGCAGACAGGTTCTGATCTAGAGGAGGCCAAAGTCAGTCTCAGCAATGAGCAAGGATTTTTGTTGTTGTTGTTGTTTAAAAAACCCTGTTTTCCCCTTCCGTTATAGGGATGCGTTTCGTCTTAGCTCAGAGCAATTTCTTAGCTTACAGTTATTAAAACACAAAGGGGCTGAGCCAAGCTCTGTGATTTATGAAACACGTGCTAGATTCATTAAAAACCTTAAAAGATTTAATACATTTTATTGAGGCTTTAAATCTGGGCAAGTATTTAAAAACTTAATGCAGGGCGTATTTCATTCCAGACACCTTTTTTAACACTTATTTTGGAGCTGTGAAATTTGGATTGACAAATATTGCAGATATTTCATTACTCATTTTTATAAATTGGCACAGAATTCTTCTGACAGGTTTGTTATGTTTGTGTGTGTATAAAGTACACACACATACATACTCAATGAGATTTATATTGTCTAAATATAAAATTATTCTCTTTTATTGACGTTTTATAGGTCTTTTTTCCCTATGTTTCTTTATAGTCCCTTCAGCAGTTACACATATACACACACAATATTTAATATATTTCTGCATGATCTGACACTCTTATTATTGCTCCTCCATTTGACCAAGCATACATTCTAATAGAAAACATATTTTTATTCCTTTTTAATCATCTACAGATTTTTATTGTTCTTAATTTTTAGCCATGAAAGAAAAGAGGCTAGGAATTTCTGCCAAAGTCTTCCCATGACATCGCACCTCTGTAGTGACCTCAGATTTGTATCAGTATTAAGATGAGAGGCTGCCTGAGTCACTTACACAATGCATTCCCCGCCTGCAAAGTTACGCATGAAGATTTGCACAGATCTGAAATCTAACGGTTTTCACCCCATTCATTAGCACAGAATCACATGCTGAATATTCTCTGTCCTAAGGAACAGATCCAAAAGGTAACTCAGATTTCAAGGGATGTTGGGGCATGCCTCTTAGGGGGTGTGTTATTTAAAAGTGAGTACATTTACCAGGTATACCTGTTTTCAATTTGTAACATTTTTAGCTCACCTCTTCTTTCAAGGTCAGAACAGCGTACACGGTCCTTTTTCTTGCCCTCTGTGATCCAGTAACCCTGGAAGGTAGGGTAGGAGGAGGGATGGTGATTAGCCTAAGGTCACCCTTGCAGCTTTGTGGCTAAATGGGGATTGGAAGCAGATCTTGGATCAAGACTCAAACCACTACACCACTCTAGCTCTGAAGAAAATAAAAACTGTACAGTACTGGCTACTTTCAAAGAAGTGATATACAAGGATGCTAGGACTGCACTGTTATCAGCTGGTACCTTTTCTCCAACTCACCCTTTCTCCTCTGCTCTCTACACTCCTGTGAGTTACCTTGCTCAATTGCAGACAAATACCTCTCTCCCTGGGCAACAGAGACACTTCCACTGATGGGCTTCTTCTCAAACAGAATTACCCGTCCTACAAAAGAAGGAATAAATGCAACAGGAATAAATGCCTTTGGCATCTGCAGCAGGCATGTGGTCTGCCCGTCCTGTGGAACGATGAGAAATTAAAGCAAGATAAAGCACTCTAGGTCCATCTTTCACTTCTACTGAACAGTGTTATCCTTTCCAGTGATTCTCGAAGGATGTGGCGCACCACACTGGTGGGGGCAGGAGAAGATGGCAAGTGTGGAGGCAAGATTCAAGGACAATCAATACTGTATTTGGGGAATGATTCATGTTCTTATTTAGATGCATTGTGTTATACTTTCTGGGTGCCCCATGGTCATATTATAAAGTAGCTGTGCATTATCTTATAAATCAAGTGCTGCTAGTTGTTTTTGCTTGTTTTCCAATGTATTTCTTATTAATTAAAAAAATCAGTGTGGCACAAGCAAATTTTTATTCTGAAAGGGTGGCCTGGAGGGGAAAAGTTTGAGAACCACTGGCTTAGTTGAAATATGATCCTCCATACTAGTGCTCCGAGAGCCCTTTGAGATTAGAAGTGAGCTGTAGGTTCAACATATCCCTCCCGCAAATGATTTCACTTCCAAGTTTGTAGCGTCCCCATATTTTGACGTGGTGGCTGGCAGTTCTCCTATATAACTCCAAGCTGGCAACCACGGGCTGAAGTCTCATAACTTGTCTGAGATTCCCGACAAAAACCTCCTGCTGACATTACTGCATTAAAAAAAAATGTTTTATTTTCAGTTACAAATGAAATGTGTCGTTGTATTTATATTCAAATTATATTTGCATCTGGGTGTTGGCACTGGCAAAAATTTATGGAAATTCCTCCCCCCCCCCCCCCGTTAAGCGCTTCCTATTTTTAGAAACCGACCAGCCTTCTCCCTGGCTCTGCTCTGAAATCTAACCACTAACCCTCACTGCCTCTCTGAACCAGCCTTCTCCACCTGGCCCTCGGACTACAACTCCCATCAGCCTTAGCCAGCTGCTGAGCCCGAAGTGACGCTCTTGGAAAGAGAAACGAAACCCGGCATCGGCTCTCTCGCGCCCTCTGCCGGAGCCGGCGCAGGAACTGCAGGGAGGGAAAAGCGGGGAGGGGCGGAAGCGTCGAAGCGTCGGGGGTTGATGGCGTCACGGGAGCGACGACGCGGAAGTCGCGGCAGCAGCTGGTGCAGGAGGAGCAGGTGGCGGCGGCGGCGGTGAGTGCGAGCGGCTGAGGCGCGGGGTGCGGGGGGTGGGCCGCTTCCCAGGCCGGCCCTCCTTGGCCCCTGGCCGCCTTCTTCCTCCTTCCCGGCCCCTCGACTGGGCAGGGCCTTCTCCTCCTCCTCCTCCCAGCCGGGCTCCCACCCCTCTCGCCCGGTTACAGGGTCCGTCTTGCTTCTGCTCGCTCCAGCCAGCCCTCCCTGCTCTAAAGCCAGGACCCCCATGGTCCTTCCCCGGCCCTCCGTCCCCTGTTCTTTTAAGGGCCACCTTGCCATTAGTTGTAGCTGGGGGGGGGGCGCAGCGGCCGGTTCCTCAAGTCAAGAATTAATTAAAAAACCACTTAACTCGGTTCTGCCCCCCACCCAACATAAAGCCTGCTACGCCCTTGCACTCTGCTTTCTTTAAATAACAGTAACAATAATAAGGAATTTTTTGTCTCTCCCTTCCTACCCAGCTTTTTTACATCCTGAAAGTTGCTGAGCTTTTTTATTTATTTATTTATTTATTTATTTTTTAGGAGAACCCCCATCTCTGTCCTGCCTCGCTAACTGGTTGGTTATTAGCAGAGTACAGATGTGGGTGGCGCTGTGGTCTAAACCACAGAGCCTAGGGCTTGCCGATCAGAAGGTCGGTGGTTCGAATCCCCGCCACTGGGTGAGCTCCTGTTGCTGCTCCTGCCAACCTAACAGTTCGAAAGTGCAAGTAGATAAATAGGTACTGCTCCGGCGGGAAGGTAAACGGCATTTCCGTGTGCTGCTCTGGTTCGCCAGAAGCTGCTTAGTCATGCTGGCCACATGACCTAGAAGCTGTCTGCGGACAAACACCGGCTCTCTAGGCCAATAAAGCGAGATGAGCGCCGCAACCCCAGAGTCGTCCGCGACTGGACCTAATGGTCAGGGGTACCTTTACCTTTACAGTGCAATGAAATCCAAAGAAAGCCAGGCAAGGGGGCGGGGCAGACCAGAGTGAAACTCAATAGATTAAAATAGCAGGTTTTTAAAAATACAGTATGTATATTTATATTCCCAGAACTCAAAACTTTTTAAAAGACTGAGAGATTTTTTTAAAAAGAAAGTATTTCAACACACAAAAGAAGGTTCTAGATGAGCTCTTCCCTTCTCATAACGAGCTTGTGAGGTAGCCTAGGGGTGTGTTTTGGTGTCAGGTGGCCCAGGATCACCCAGTGAACTTTGTGTCTGAGCAGTATTTGGAGCCTGGCCTCCTCAGTCCTTCTCCAGTGCTCAAGTTTGCTCAACCACGCTGGCAGTCTTGTGTGTCTGGCACCAGCCATTTCCTGAAAAGGCTTAAAGGAGAGGACTTGGTCAAGCTCCAGTAATTAATGTCACATTGAATGCTGTAGCCATTGGAGAGAATCTGCCCAACCCCTCCAGCTCTGTTTTGTGCATATTTACTTGTAAACAAGTCCCAGGTGTTCAGTGGGGTTTGTAGGTAAACAGGTGTGCTTAAAGCTGCGCTGCCCACAGCGTTTTAGAGCTCTGGACTTGGCTAAGAAGGCCACTGGCCTGATCCAGCAGGCTCTATCTAGTCCAGCACCCTGTTCTCACAGTGGTCAGCCAGATGCCTGTGGAAAGCCTGCAAGCAGAACCTGAGCACAACAGCCCTCTGCACACCTGTGATTCCCAGGAACTGGTATTCAGAAGCATACTGGAGGTAGAATATAGCCAGTCTTCCAAAATTCAGCTTCTTTGGATGTCCATGAGTTCATGGGTTGTGAGAAAGGGGAAGGAACCTTTCTCTATCCGCTTTCTCTATGTCATGAATAATTTTATAAACTTATAACACGTCGCCTCCTACTCGCCTTTTCTCTAAACCGAAAAGTCCCAAACATTGCAACCTTTCCTCATAGGGGAGTTACCTCACCCCCTTGACCATTTTGAGATCTCAAATAATTTTCAGCTGTTTTTCTCCTGCTTTGGTGGGAGATGCAGGGAATTGTGGGCTATGTGGAAGGGCAAATAACATTATTGATATATCAAGCACTGTAATGTGTTGTAGCTGCTTCTCTTGTCTTTTGATTTGTGGATTAATGTCATGTGGACATTCCTTATATCATACTTCACCCCAAGGTAGAGCTGCCCTCCTGGGGCCGCCACCCTGAAAATTCAGCAGATTGGGTTAGAACCGTAAAGCAAAGTGGGGTTCAGCTTTTCATACCAAGTGAGTCACAAGAGTACAGTGGTGCCCCGCAAGATGAATGCCTCGCAAGACGGAAAACCTGCTAGACGAAAGGGTTTTCCGTTTCTGAGTTGCTTCGCAAGACGATTTTCCCTATGGGCTTGCTTCGCAAGACAAAACATCTTGCTAGTCTTGCGTGTGTGTTTTCCGCTTTCCCCCCCTTTTTTCTAAGCCGCTAAGCCGCTAATAGCCTTTTAGCAGCTTAGCTGCTAATCCTTTAATAGCCGCTAAACCGCTAATAGCGCTAAGCCGCTTAGCCGCTAATAGGGTTGCTTCGCAAGACGAAAAAACCGCTAGACGAAGAGAATCGCGGAACGGATTCTTTTCGTCTTGCGAGGCACCACTGTACTTGGACACGGAACCTGCAGGCCACACAATGCCTTGTCCTGTGGGGCGGGGGAGTGAGACCAATATTTGATGAGGACACCCAGCTCTCAAGTCAGCTAAGCAACAGCAGGCTTTGGGAAGGAGGTGTGAAGCCCTGGCAGTGTCCTAGAGCCCTCCCTCCTCTTTCCTAAAGCTGGGAAAGCACTAACTAGCCCAGTGCTTTTGGAAAGGCAGCCTTTGGAAAGGCTGGGGGAGTAGGGTGCCAAATGTTGCTGAGGGCCACATGTTGGACCACCCTGCTCTGGAAGGTCCTTTCTCTGCTTTGCAGACTGCATATCCTTTCCTATCCACTCCACTTCCTAGTCAAAACCATTTCTTGTTTTGTGAATTGTCACCTCTCCAGTGAAGAGCTTTCACAAGCACCAAATCCCTGGTACTGTCTTATAGAAATCACCATTGTGGCTCTTGGATATCTAACATGCTGGGTGGTCTGGGGTGTTTTGAAGTCATGTGAGTTCTCACCTCTTGGCTTTCTAGAAAAGAAGTCATTCTCACTGTTGCACACAGACACAACCTGGGAAGAAGTCATGTAACTCTTGTGTTCTCTGCTTTAACAAACAGCAGAGTTGCATAGCCTGTGTTCCTGTTTTCTGTTCATCTTAATTCTTATTTTAATGAGAAGAGAACAGGAAATAAAGTTATTTAAGGAATTTCCTAAAGTGTCTGTGGGCTTCTCACAGCAGAATGCTTTGCCTTGCTCACATATGTTGTTGGCCTCCATCCGTCTCAGGAGACAGTGGAAGAGTGCGCCATTGGGGGTTAAGTCAAACCATCGGGGCTCTGCGCTCCTCCCAGCGGTCATTTCTCCTCTGGTCATTGCTGTGGATGCAGGACCTGACAGTCTGCTTCCAGGCACTGCAAGGAATTCCCACACAGCAGGGTTAATGTTCCTAGTCTTCATGTCAGGTTTGCTGACACCTTTATAATGCAGAGTTGGTCTGCCAACAGGCCTGGTGCCTGAGGCCAGATCACTTGGGGATCCTGCTATCTTTCATTCTGTGTACATGACCAAGCCATGTTGCTGAGATAGAATGCTGGGAATGTGGGCTTCGGAGAGCACACCTTTGTTTGAGACTATGTCCTGCCATGTGATGCCCAAAATCTTAGATGAATGTATCGCCTTGCTAACAGTGTGTGGCTTGGCTGATTCATAGAAGTAATCGGGTTGCTTCTCTGTAGACCAAAGGTGAATCCCAAGGCCCACATTCCCTTCTGGACAACTTTACGAGAGCCACATGCCAGCGGTGGGTGGGACCAGAAGCAAAAACATTCCAATACTACTTTTGCTCAGTAGGCCAGCTTTTATGCACACTTCTCTTCTTCCTCTGTATACTAATAATGATAATAACAATCACGCCCCCCCCTCCAGGCATTATCAGAGTTCAAGGACACATTCCGGCCAGCCAAAAACACCTGAGAGTCTCAAATAGGTATGGGGAGGGGTGTGGTCTGGGGAGAGTCCCATGAGACAGATTGAGAGGTTTGGAGGACCACTTTTGGTCCCTAGTCCTGAGGTTCCCCACCTGTAATGTAGGCATTTATGCATTGTGGCTGCCTACTGCTGGTAGCACGCTGATTTCTGAAATAGCGTCCATCCTGTACCTCAAGACAAGCAGTGTCCATCTGATGGATGTGAGAAATTTGGGCACAATCCATTGGGAAGTCCTGTGTAAGATGAATGGTGCATGGATACAATGCTCTTGTACATTTCCTGCTCATTCCAATGGGGCCACCCACCTCATGAGGGGCAAGCAGAAAGAGCTTTTCTCTGATGGCATCATGAAGACGTAGGGTCGTCCAGGATATGACCCAGAGATCTTGCCTCAGGGCTGCAATCCTAGCCCCACTTACCTAGGAGTAAACCACAATGAACTCAGTAGGGTTTGCTTTTAAAGGGTAGACATAGGGCACTGTAACTTGTTTGAGAACAGTAGTATTCCTTGCCTCCGCAGCAGATCAGAGGCGAAAGGGAGTGAAGCCAGTGATGTGAGAAGAGTGGAAGGAGGGTAGCAGAAGACATAACTGCAGCCAATTTGTGTGTGTGGATCTAGTGTTGTTACAGGCAGAATCTCCAAGGGGAAGAGTCATAGAGTATCTGCTTTGTGTTGTAGAAGGTCCCAGGTTCAGTCCCTTGCATCTTAAGGTAGGGCAGGGAGCGAGTCCTGTCTGAAATCTAAATAAGTTTCTGCCAGTCTGTGTAGACAATACTTTACTGAACTAGAAGGACCAATGGTCTGGCTCAGTATAAGGCAGCTTTCTGTGCTCCTATTTTCAATATGCACAATTTTCAACTTGCAAACTGGGCATCTTGTCATCTGGGGAAGATAGATGTAAACTGCTGTGGTGGAGAGGAGGAGAAAACAGAGAAAATGTGGATCTGGAGCTTGTTACCCAACATTTTTTAATTAATCGCTTTTAGTTAGGGTTACTTACCTGATTAAAGAAATATTAGATTATTAATTTCACAGGTTCTGGCCAATCAGTTATATTTCATAGACAAGACCATAATTCCAAGGTAATATCATACTTCTCCTTAAGTTTATGCACATGTGTATTGCAATATACATCACTGTAGAAGCATTCCCTTCTACACGAGAGAAGTTCAATGGCATGTTGTCACTAGCCTTTAAAATGAACCTTAAAAAGAAAAGCACTGCTGGTTTATTGAGGCACTTTTAGTTTTCGTTTTGTTCAGTATTGCAGCTCTTGCTATAATCTGGAATATGGATTTAGTGCCTTTTAGTTGAAGTTGCACAAAATGGACTGTGGGCTTGTAAGGCACATCTCTTTCGATAGCTCTTATTTCTTGATTCCTTTGGATATGTAAGGTAAAGGTACCCCTGCCCGTACGGGCCAGTCTTGACAGACTCTAGGGTTGTGCACCCATCTCACTCAAGAGGCCGAGGGCCAGCGCTGTCCGGAGACACTTCCGGGTCACGTGGCCAGCGTGACAAAGCTGCATCTGGCGAGCCAGCGCAGCACACGGAAACGCCGTTTACCTTCCCGCCAGTAAGCGGTCCCTATTTATCTACTTGCACCCGGGAGTGCTTTCGAACTGCTAGGTTGGCAGGCGCTGGGACCGAGCAACGGGAGCGCACCCCGCCGCGGGGATTCGAATTGCCGACCTTTCGAACGGCAAGCCCTAGGCGCTGAGGCTTTTACCCACAGTGCCACCCGCGTCCCTTTGGATATGTAGCTTCTAGTATGTTGGAAGCTCCAATGGGAGTGCTTGAAAAACACCCTAGGATTACAGCCTTTGCTCTGAAGTGTCCCTCCCAATAATCTTATCTAAACAGACTTGGCAAAGTTGATCTGCAAGTGACGGTTGTGCATCATTTTTGCTAGCTGTTTGGGAGGAGGGACAAGGCTTATGATCCAAATCAGCTTCCCCCAACCATGGGTCTTGAGATGTTGTTGAGTACAATGCCCATCATCTCCAGCCAGCATGGCCAACAATCAGGGGTGTGTGTTATTTGGGTGTGTGTTTGTGCAGGGAGGGGGCAGGGGTTGTAGTTCAGCAACATTGGAGAATCCAAGTTTGGAGAAGGCTGCTCAGAAACCTTAGCTCCTGGTTATTGGAAGTCCTGTTTCCAGCTTGTGCAGTTTCAATAGGTTCTGCCCACACATTGTGAGCAGTAGACACTTGTCTTAAAACACATACACACACACACACATCCGAGATTCTCAGGAAATGGAATTTGAAGCAGGAAATAAAAAGACAAATTAGGCAAGCAAGACAGTCCTGGAGGATAGGACAACAAAGGACCATCAGCTGTGGTGGATGAAACAGAATCTCAGTGTTCCAGGGCATAGAAAAGAATTGAGAGCTTCGGGACAAACAGGAGATATTAGCCTGTTCCTTTGTGCTCTGTTTGGGAGCTTGCGATACGGCATTTGGGCAGGGAGGGAGGATAGGACAAAGTGGACCTTGATCTGATCAAGCAAAGGGCATTCTTAACTGCTTAATATATAACGCTCTAAGGCAGGACATCCTGTCCCCAGAGGTTCAGAATAATGGGCCTAGTTTCCACACAGAGCTCTAAAGTATTGCAGGACTCATTGTTCTTTGCTTTTCTTTCCTTCCCTGTCGTTCTCCTTCTTGTCTAGATTATACTCTCAGGGATGACTCAGCTGGGTGCCATAGCAGCTCTAGCTGCCAGCCTGGTGGCAGCTGCTCTTTTTTCTGCAATACACAAGATCGAAGAAGGGCACATTGGTGTTTATTACAGGTACGTGCAGGCGCTTAGAGGGAGCTCCACTTTCTGCATGTCAGTTTATACAGCTCTCCAGATTATGTCAGTTTATACAGCTCTCCAGATTATGGTTTCTAGGATCAGGAAGTGGGGGAAGCCCTTAAACACTCAAAATAGTTCCCTCTTCCATGCAGCTTCGATTTGTTTCCTGTTTAGCACTATTGCCGTGATGAATGAATCAAATGGCTCCTAGGAAGAGTCACTGCCAGTCAGTGTAGACAATACTAAGCTAGATGGGCAATGGTCTGATGTGGTATAATTTGTACCATATAAGGCAACTGCCTTTATTCCTTGTTCCTAGTTCTTGCCCTGCAAAACAGAACTGGAAACCCACTTCAAACAATGGTTTCTCTTAGGTAAGCACTGACCATACTCTGCCAATTTAATCATTACAGACTATAGGTTATTAATTTGTATTCCCTTTAGAATATATGCAGGCTGCTTGCCAGGAAGTGTCAAGCCCTCCCAAGGTAGCTTCCAACACATACAAATGCACATTATCAAATAAAAAGAAGCATAATAAAATATAAATGATTAAAAAACCAAGAACCAACGGTAATACACATTCAGCCTAGTACGGTAAGTTAAAGAATTATAAACTAAAGTAGCCCCATATATACAGCAGCCCAGTGAATCTCACATTCAGGAAGAGAGGCAAACACAAAAAATGTCTCTCAAGCAAGAAAGGATTTTGAAAGAGGAACCGTGTGCAGGAGAGGTGGTGGTGGCAGGCAGTCTTCAAGCCTGCATATTTCTCTTAAGAGCAAAGAGTGCTTTAGAACTTCAGATCTGTCTCTGTTTATTCTGTGTCTGCTTCTGCCAGTTTTTGTCTGTACTGATAAACTACTATACTTCCCCTTTTTGTGAGTAAGCACCAACTTTTCCCCCAGCAATAAAATCTCTATATCTGGATGTACTGAGTGTACCAAACTAAGTTCTACTTCGGTGTATACTCATTGAAATTAATCGGCCTAAGTGAGTCATGCCCATTAATTTCAGTGTGTCTGCTCACAAGTATGGCTAACGTTGGATACAATCCTGTGAATCCTCAGATTCTGAGAATGTGTATGTTGTACAGTAAAGTTCATTTTGAACTCAAGTTGCCAAGACACTAGGATGTGACAGTCAACCAATTCTTCAATTCACTCCAATGGAGGAGGCTGTCTTGCAGCATCATTAATTATTTTTTAAAGAACTTGTATGCTGCCTTTCAACATAAATATTCTCAGGGCAGCTCGCATCAGTTAAACAGAACAAGGAAATGTACAACAAGCATAATAATTAAAAGATTAGATGATATTAACAGTAAGTGAATAAGGCCTGTGTCATAATCAGTGCCAGGATAACCTCTTAAGAAGAGTCTTCCTTATGCAGGGTGCCACAACCGAGAAGACCCTTCTTGCAACTCACCTCTAGCCAGGAGCAGCCAGAGGGACCTGAAGTGGCAATCTCGCTGCAAAAGCAGGCCAATGTGGAGTTAGGTGCTCCATCTAGGGCTTTCAAAGGACTCACCAGCACTTTGAATCATGCTTGGAAATGAACCCTGTGAAGATGTTTAAGATATGTTCCCACTGACTGTTCTTGGTGCTCATTGGCGGTGACAGTGAGTCCTGCCTTTGTCCATTTGCAGGTGCAGTTTGGATTCAAACCATGCCTGTAAATGGACATTTCCCCTCTGAAACAAATCCCAGCTGCACCTGTGAATGGGCAGCCTCAAAGGCACTTGCAGTCGGCACCAATCAGCGATCTCCACTTGCCAGCGAGCAATTGGATGCACCCTTCAGGCTCCCAATTATTTATTTTTTCTCAGATGCATTTTCACCTGCCACACACCTGACATCACATGTGCAGAAAGAGAATATGTTTTAGGGGGAACTGCCTCTCAGGCCAAACTAAGACCCCTGCTAGGCCTGTTCTAAAACTCCCATTACTCTGCACCAAGGATCACAGCACTGCCTGATATAAATGCACACCTTTCTCTCTCTTTTTTTTAACAGGGGAGGAGCCTTGCTGACATCCACCAGTGGCCCTGGCTTCCACCTAATGCTCCCTTTCATTACCTCCTACAAATCAGTACAGGTACTTTTCATTTTTATGCTCTCCTTACAGGAGTGTAGCATATAGAGTTCTTATTAGTTGCACCCAAGTAGTCTGGGATGCTGTATTAGTCTTTTTTCCTAATGGCAAGGAAGTTCAGATTCTGAGCCTGGAAAAGTGTCATAAATTTTTATTGTTATTGGAATGTAGCCTGCTGTGTAAAATCAACCCTGTTACTCTGGTCATCGCTGGCATATATTTCCTGAATGAAGGGACACAGGTGGCGCTGGGGTCTAAACCACTGAGCCTCTTGGGCTTGCCAATCAAAAGATTGGTGGTTCTAATCCCCATGATAGAGTGAGTTCCCATTGCTCTATCCCAGCTTCTGCCAACCTAGCAGTTCGAAAGCATGCCAGTCCAAGTAGATAAATAGGTACTGCTGTGGTGGGAAGGTGAACGACATTTCCGTGCGCTCTGGTTTCTGTCATGGTATTCTGTTGCGCCAGAAGCGGTTTAGTCCTGCTGGGCCACATGACCCAGAAAGCTGTCTGTGGACAAACACCAGCTCCCTCGGCCTGAAAGCGAGATGAGCACCACAACCCCATAGTCGCCTTTGACTGCACTTAACCATCCAGGGGTCCTTTACCTTTTTCCTTTTTTTACCTTTATTTCTCCTGAATGTTGCCCTCGTGGGAATGTGGTCGTACGCCATTGTAAGCGATCCAGTTCATTACAAATCCTTTTGCTTTCTTTCTCCATCTCTCTAGACAACATTGCAAACAGATGAAGTAAAAAATGTTCCATGTGGCACAAGGTGAGTTGTAGCCCCAGAATTGAATTTGGTGCCTTTATGTCCTTCTCGAGCTCACAGGTTGAGGCTGCTTCCCATATGCCGTTTTGGACCTTCTTCGACTTCTGTGGTGCCTCTGTGCAGTGGCACTGAAAAGCGGCTCTGCTGAGACAGTAAATGGAAGCACCTGGCCCCAAATTGCCTTATTATGCTGTATCCTGCAATGTATATGCACACCTCTATGTAGGCTGGGCAAAGCGTGTTCTTAAAGCAGGCTTCACTGAGCGTTTAGAATCAAAAAGTAGAAACGGACAGTCCAAACCTCTAAAACAAGATATTGCACATCAAAAGTCGAGCTTTCCCTGTTGAGAAAAGCCAAATCATGTGGTTTGGGCAAATAGATACACATTCATTAATTGGCCTTGTTTACTTATATTGTCATTGCCGTAGACGAGAGGGAAGTACAAATAGCTGTTCAGGCCCCTGTTTGGACAGCCCACTCAGCCCTTTCTTCCCCAGATGCCTTTAACCTTCTGTTTGCATTCATAAGGGCTAGAAACATAGGTTATGGGGAGTTGCTTTGGTTTTTCAAAAGGAAGCTCAGATTTTGGGGATCCCACAGCAGATAGCAAATTCTCTGCATGTACAGTGGAATTTCTGAAGTATAGGGTTGTATTCGACTAAGTTCTTGGGAGCGGAAGGACTTCTCTGAGAAAAATGGAACTTCCCCAAAACTGCTCCAGAAGGTTGGGGAATCCCTAGACCAGATTTGGGGGAAGCGGTTGTGGAAGTTGTTTCGGCTCACGCAGTGACTTAGCAGGATTCAACCCATGTTGGTTTGCCTGCACTTAAAACCTCTTTTAAGGATGCTTGTGCAATGCATTACAGAAAATCCTTCAAGAAATGTGATTGTATGACCTCTCTAGGCAATTAAGTGCCTGATGGCGCCATGTTTTCCATGCAAATTAGTTTTTTTCCTTCTGAATGGGATGTCCTTACTGAGTTTTACTTCTCAGAAGAAGCTGTGAAGCTCTCTGTACCTGCCACTAGATGGCATTTTATCCTTCACTTACTTCAAAACTTTCCCTCTATAGCATTTGGGGTGAATGCTACTAGGGTGGTGGCCTGAACTAGTTGGAATAGCCTGCAAAGCAGAAACCGTGCTTGCAGAAACAAATGAAAGTCAGCGAATTATGTTCTGAAAACTGAAGTAACCCATTACTTCAGCCAGTGTGGTGTAGTGGTTAAGAGCGGTAGTCACGTAATCTGGGTAACCGGGTTCGCGTCTCCGCTCCTCCACATGCAGCTGCTGGGTGACCTTGGGCCAGTCATACTTCTTTGAAGTCTCTCAGCCCCACTCACCTCACAGAGTGTTTGTTGTGGGGGAGGAAGGGAAAGGAGAATGTTAGCCGCTTTGAGACTCCTTAAAGGGAGTGAAAGGCGGGATATCAAATCCAAACTCTTCTTCTTCTTCTTCATTACTGAGAGTATTTTTTTAGTCTCAAAGCTGAATACTCAGATGGCTCAAACAAATAGTTTGGCTATAAATTTAACCATAGATCTACACAATTATCTTTTTATTGCCATAGTCTGTTGGGAGGAACTCAAGTGACCTAAAGCATGGGCAACTCATTACACCAGGGCCAGACAACATGGTACCCTCCCGCCCCAACCAACACAGCCAGGTCAGGGATGACGTCTTGGGGGGGAAATGCTGGGTGTGTGCTTAAAGAGCAAGCGCTCATGCAGTTATATTTTTTGTATTCTTTGTTCATGCTCTGTGTTGCCACAAAAGGACTTGATCCCCTAAATAGCTAACAATTCACTTTAAAATAAGCAATAAACCTTTAACCACAATTTCACACAGCACGTAGTTAAGCTATGGAATTTGCACTCCCAGGGTTGGTCGCCAACTTGGATGGCTTTAAAAGAAGATTAGACAAATTTGGGGATGCTATCAACGGCTACTAGTCATGGTGACCATGTTCTAAATCCACTGAATACCACTTGCTGGGTATCAAAACTGAGTATCAGAAGTGCATACTTAAGCCCTACTTCTGGGCTTCCCATAGACATCTGATTGGTCATGGCAAGAAAAGAATTAGATGGGCTCTTTTGACGTTCTCCGGATCAAGCCAGTTGTCCCATCTAGTTCAGAATCCTGTTTCCTGCTACAGTGATGAACGAAGTGCCGGTGGGAAACCCACAAGCAGTGCATGAAAGCAATGACTCGCTCTGTTTTTGCTCTCCACCAGCTGGTATTTAGAGGCATGGTGCCTCTGAAGCAAGAGGTTGCATAGAGCTGCCATGAGTAGTAACAATGTCTCTGGGCAGTGGAAGCCAGCAGAGATGGAGGCTGGTGGGCCTCTCACAGGACAGCTTCCCACATCTATACAATTCTTTATCCCATAGATCAGTGTTTCTCAAACTTGGGTCCCCAGCTATTGTTGGACTACAACTCCCAGCATCCCTAGCTAGCAGGACCAGTGGTCAGGGATGATGGGAGCTGCAGTCCAACCACAGTTGGGGCCCCAAGTTTGAGAAACACTGCCATAGGTCCTGCATGGTCCTGCATACGTGCTAGAACTAGATAAGAAGTCGTCCCTCTTTGGATTTTGCTCTTTTTTTCTACAGTTTGTTGGTTGGGCACTGGGTACAGTGGTGCCTCGCAAGACAAAATTAATTTGTTCCGCGAGTTTTTTCGTCTTGCGATTTTTTCGTCTTGCGAAGCACGGTTTCGGAAAAGTTTTGGAAAAGCTTCAAAAATCACCAAAGTCTTCATAAACCTCAAAAAAGGCTACCACACCGTGTTCTATGAGTTGCTCCTCGAAGTCAAGTCGCAACTGTATTAACGGTTTTAAGAAAAAGGAAACAAACTTGCAAGACGTTTCCGTCTTGCGAAGCAAGCCCATAGGGAAAATCGTCTTGCGAAGCAACTCAAAAAACCAAAAACCCTTTCGTCTTGCGAGTTTTCCGTCTTGCGAGGCATTCGTCTTGCGAGGTACCACTGTACATTCTATCCCTCGATACATTCTGTCTTCATCCCTAGGGTGTGTTGTCAAAACACTCACCTCCCTTCGCACTTTCTTTCTGCAGTGGAGGAGTGATGATCTATTTTGACCGAATTGAGGTTGTGAACTTCCTAATCCAAAGTGCCGGTGAGTCTATTTAGCTCTGCTTACTTGTGCTTCCTTTTCCGGGCTGGAGGAGTGTGCAAGAGTTTGGGGGCTGGATTTGCCACACAGAATATTCACACCCGTTCCAGTAGTAATATAGTTTTATTTACTTTGAAGATTTACGCCCCACTTTTCAATCAAATGAGTTTCAAGGCGGCTTGCAACAAACAGGTAATGATAACCACAAAAAAGCAACAACTTTTGAACATACTCTCTTGCACACATATTGCAGGCATGCACCACACAGCAGCAACTCTTACTCCTCTGACAGATAGATGGGGCCAGAGCCTCCTTCCCTTCAGTTCTGCAATACCAATGCAGCAGACAAGAAGGAACAGAAGTAGCTGCCTTATGCTGGGTCCAGCGCTTTGGTCCTTTTAGCACAGTATTGTCTACACTGGCAGGCAGTGGTCCTCCAGGGTTTCAGGCAAGATAATTCCCACCACTACCTGGAGATGCTGCTGACTGAAGATGGCGCCTTATGCATGTAATGTTTTACCTCTGAGCTATATAGCCCTTCCCCAAAGAGTAGAGTGTCCTAGTCCCTGGAGCTGCTCCATATTTGTCCAATGGATGAGGCCTAGCTGGCTTCCCTCTTGTCCGGGGAGTCGGGGCCTTCCCAGAGGGCCAGAATATATTTTGTTTCTCACCAGTCCCGGTGAGGCATAGTGTATTTGAGCCCTGGTAAAGTGCAGCAGACCCATAAGCTTTGCAGGAAGAACTGGAGTGAGATTGGCTCTGCTTGGGTCATATTGGGAGTCTCCATTGCCTGGCCTGAAAAGCCTCCAGGTCTACTCACAGTCAATAGTGCCCACCCCCAGTGTTAAACAGAGACTACAGGGTGCTGCCTCCTGATGTTGCAACCTGCTACTGTTGTTAAGCATGAGGGCTGATCTGAGCTAACAGCACCCTTTTCTCTTCTCACCAGTATATGACATAGTGAAGAACTTCACTGCAGATTATGACAAGGCTCTCATCTTCAACAAGATCCACCATGAGCTCAACCAGTTCTGCAGTGTCCACACTCTCCAGGAAGTTTACATTGAATTATTTGGTGAGTGCCTTGATCACTAAAATGGAGGTGGTACCACTGATGTGACCCACTTGTTAGCATCTTTTTAAGGGGTTGTTGGTTTTTTTTAATGCGTTCTAGGCTGTGCGTGTCCAAGTGAATGGAGTTAGCTCAGTCTGTAGAGCATGAGATTCTTATTCTCAGGGTCATGTGTTGCAGCCCCACGTTGGGCAAAAGATTCCTGCATTGCAGGGGATTGGACTAGATGACCCTAGTTATCCCTTCCAACTCTACAGTTCTGTAATTCCATGAATAAAAAGCTGCTCCACTTCAGAGGCATGTGGTACTCTGGCCAACATGATTAACTCACACACCACACTCAATTATCCTTAAAAAATGTCTAATTATTTGGTTCATTATCTTACCACATGGGAATATGGGAGCATATTCACACAGTGCTCATATCAGCTGCACTGGCTTCCAGTGGAGTATAGGGTCAGGTTTAAGGTGCTGGTTTTGACCTATAAAGCCCTATGCAGCCTAGGACCCTCGTACTTACAGGACCGCCTCTTCTGGTATGTCCCACAGAGGACCCTAAGGTCCATGAATAATAATAGGTTAAAGGTCCCGGGCCCCAAGGAAGCCAGACTATCTTCCACCAGGGCCAGGCTTTTTCAGTGACAGCTCCAACCTGGTGGAATGCTCTGTCCCACGAGACTAGGGCCCTGCAGGCCTTGATCTCCTCCTGCAGGGCCTGTGAGACAGAGCTATTCTGCCAGGCCTCCAATTTGAATTAGCCTGATCCTCTATTCCATTTCCCCCTTCCTTTTCTATGAAGAAACCCTTTCTGGGACCCCACATTTAAATTCTTCCCTGGTCTCCTTTCTGGCCCTAGTAGGACCAACTTGGCCAGTTACCCCTGGTGATCATTTGATGTCTACTGACTGGGTTTTCCCCGCCCAAATGACCCCTGAATTTTTGAATTTCATTGATATTGATGCTGCATTTTATGTTGTGTTTTATGCTGTTTTATGCTGTTTGTAAGTCACATTTTAATCAATGTTTTATATTTGCTGCTAGCCGCCCTGAGCCCAGTTTTTAAACCGGGAAGGGCGGGGTATAAATAAATATTATTATTATTATTATTATTACCAGATCAGATTGATGAAAACCTGAAACTAGCTCTCCAGCAAGACCTGACATCCATGGCACCAGGACTCATCATACAGGTAACCAAGAATATTAGGGGTGGGGGTGGAGTTCTGGTCCAGTACCAGACAGGGGATTGAAGAGCTGCAAGCTAGACCTGACATTGCCCCACTTTGCTCATCAAACTTGCTGGTGCTCCTGGATAGATCTTAACATCAAGCAAGCAGAAGAGCGGAATTAAATTTTCTTTTTGTGCTGGCTTTTTGTTAGCAGAGCCTGGACAGGCAGCAGATAATTTGAGTCTTTTAGAAGTCTGTGCAAAGAATTTGGTGCCATACAGCACCCACCCAAATAGAAGGGCCACCCCAATTTTGGGGGATCCATGCTGGGGGCTCTTCTGCCAACTCATTGGCAGAATCCCCCAATTTTGGGGGATCCATGCTGGGGGCTCTTCTGCCAACTCAGACTCTCCTGCGCTACTTTAGACTGCATCAGTTGCATGCTAACAGAATGAGAGTGGAGACTGCTTCCTCCCATTGCAGATTGTATTGAGTTGTAACATGGAGAGTCTTTCCTTGATTTGGCAGCATCTCGTGCTCCATATGCTATATGATAAGGTCGCTATTGACTGAGTTGAGCACATGCTGCTCAGCAGCCTCCTTCCCTCATCATCCTCCCTTTTTATTTCTCCAGGCAGTTCGAGTCACAAAGCCAAACATCCCAGAGACAATTCGGAGGAATTACGAACTCATGTAAGTAGCAGGTATTCTCTCCTTCCCTTTCAGTACAGTTGTGACGGTGTGTAGCTAGTCCCCTGGGCTAGGTTCTCATACTCAAACAAACCATGTTTTGGTTAAACAAACCATAGCCAAATGCAAACCCAGGCACTGCACCTTGGTAACCTATGCAGTTCGTCGTAACCTGGTGTGATGGTGGCCACCAACTCACATAGTTTTAAAAGAGGATTGGACCAATTTCTGTAGGATAAGTGAGTACAAGTCATGATGACTGTATGCTACTTCTGTGCCCAGTAAGATCAACAGAAGATGGCTACCACATTCATGTCCTGCTTGTGAGCTTCCCAGGAGCATATTTTTCACCCATGTGGGAGGCGGGATGCTGCACTGGAAAGGTTTCCGATCTTCTCCTGCAGGACACACTCTGTTAACTTTTTACACATTGTGTGGCTGCCCTTGTGGATAAGCAGTTGTTCGGCTCTCATAGCCAAGATAGTTCAGTATTGCATGCTTATTGTCTGGGCATTCTTCAGCTACAGTCTTCTCTCTCTGGACCACTCATCGTTGTCTCACCAGTGCTCCCCAGGCTCTGAGCCTTCTTCCCTCCCACCATTCCTCTGCATCCAACCGGTCCATGACAGCTGGGCAGGCAGGGCCATAGGCAGAAGTAGGCAGAACAATGCACGTCTCAGTATAGTAGGCTAATTTCTGCACATGCTCATGTACGCCTCTCTAGCATCCATCCAGGCTAGCAAAAGGCATTATCAGAGTTCAAGGACATATTCCAGCCGGGCAAAAACAGACAAAGATGTTGTAAAGCATGGCCAGATAGGGAGGCTTGGGGTGGTGTTTGACCCCCAGGCCTGAGGTTCCCCACTCCTGTTCTAATCAGGTGTATCCTGCTTCCAGGAGCATCTGCTGTTTCTGCCAGTGTTTTACTTATTCGCCCGTCTTGGTCCCTCTAGGGAGAGCGAGAAGACAAAGCTGTTGATTGCAGCTCAGAAGCAGAAGGTGGTGGAGAAGGAGGCTGAGACGGAACGCAAGAAGGCTCTTATTGGTTTGTGTGGATATTTATTTAGAGAGCAGCACATGGAGTTGCATAGCACATAGGAAGAGACTTCATCCCTAGGGGGATGTGAGGCAGGCGTAGCCGATTCATCAAGAGGTTGGTGGGAGATGAGGTGATGACAAAAGGCTTTGCTAAATAAATTGTGTGTGCAGCATCTAATTTGTGCACAAGGAGATTCTTGATTGCTGCCCCTCTTGGTTCCTAGACCAGGTCTGCATGCATCCTATCAAGGCAAAAAGCGAGAGAGTTTGGATTGAGAAAACTGTCCCATTGGTGAGATAATCACAGTTGTGCATGGACAAGTGGTAATGTGCCACGAGCTAGTCTTAATCAAAGAGGGAAGCATATACCAAAAGAGAAGAGAAGGTTTTTGCTACCTTGTTCTTTCTGCAGGGATGGCAGGAGGGGCAAGTCAGTGTTTTCAAGTAGATGAGTTGAGCTTGCCAGGTGTCTTGCTGTTCCGGGAACAAACTAGCTACGTTGACCATCGGAGTTGGTTCCCATAATCATTGGCCTATCTTTCCTAATACAGAGGCAGAAAAAATAGCCCAGGTGGCTGAAATAACATACGGGCAGAAGGTGATGGAAAAAGAAACTGAGAAGCGAATCTCTGAGATTGAAGGTAAGCAGCTATGGAAAAGATTTTCCATCTGACCAAGGATGTCAGAGCACAAATAGGCTTAGGTATAGGCCTGGTGGATCCCTCCTTTCTCGCAGATGAATATTTTAAGGTCCAATAAAGGTGAAGTTGGCCACTTTGCATCTATGAACATCAGCCTTCCCCAACCTAGTGCCCTCCACATTTTTTAACATCAGCTCAAGTCATACCTGCATTGACTATGTTGGCTAGGACTGGTGGGCATTGCAGTTTGAAACCTCTAGAGGGCACCAGGTTGGGGGAAGATGGACCACAGGATACAGTGGTACCTCGGGTTACATACGCTTCAGGTTACACACTCCGCTAACCCAGAAATAGTGCTTCAGGTTAAGAACTTTTCTTCAGGATAAGAACAGAAATCGCGCTCCGGCGGCGCGGCAGCAGCAGGAGGCCCCATTAGCTAAAGTGGTCTTCAGGTTAAGAACAGTTTCAGGTTAAGAACAGACCTCCGGAACGAATTAAGTACTTAACCCGAGGTACCACTGTACTTGACAAAAGACAGGCAGGGACTAGAAGTATGTGGGTTATTTATTTTGCCATTCTCTTATCCTGCCCTTCCTCCCAATGGGAGCACAGAGCAGTTGACAATGCAATATTGCATACAAAGCTGTGAACAGCAGTAACCATTTGTTAAAACCTCACATCCAAGCCAGATGGTAAAACAAACAAAATATAAACATCAATAGTAGACGTGACAGTAGCAAAACCATTAAAAAGTCACATTCCAAAGGCCTGGGCAAATAGAAAGCATCTTACCTTGATCCTATTGATAGAGGACAGCCAAATGCCCTTTGGGAGGGAACTCCATAATCGAGTAGCCACAACTGAAAGTGCCCTCTCTCATGTTGCCAGCCGCTGAGCAGAAGCTGGAACAACAAGTGGGGCATCTCTGGCAGGTCTATAGAGCTGAATAGTCCAGTTCTGAAGGCAGCAGTCCATTATGTACCTGGGTCCTAAGTCATTCAGTGTTTTATGTCGCCAAGTTGCAGCTGATTCAAGTAGTCCAAGTGTGGGGAACATTCCCCCCCCCCGATGTTTCTGAACAGCAGCTCCCATCAGCCCCAGCAAGGCCAAAGGCCAGGGAGGAGGATGGGAGTTGCAGCTCAGCAACATCTGGAGGGCCCAAAGTTCCCCACACCTGAAATAATCCTTGTGGTTGAGAAACATCTTTGGAGCAGCACCATCGAGTGAATTGCTTTTAATCCCCGTTCTGCCTCCACTGATTGCATACCTCCACACTTCCCTGTTTCCAGCCATGTGTTTCTTTGCACATGAGGTTCTTTAGTTTCCCCAGCCAGGATTCTGTAAGCCAGAAGAAGTCTGCCAAATGTTTCAGCTCCCTTGGTATTTGTGTTTGTTTGTGTTTCTGTAGAATTTGCAACTCTCCTTCCACAGTTCAACATGTCAGCCCTGGATACCTTTGTCCTCTGCACATAGAACTGATGCACTGTAGCAGAGGATGTGCTATGCATGCCACCATTCGGTTCTTGGAGCGCATGAAGCTGCCCTGTACTGAGTCAGACCAACAGTCTGGCCTTGCATTTTCACAGAGGGGGCTCCCCAGAGTTTCAGACAGAGGCCTTTCCCAGCCCAAAGCCAGGGATTCAACCTGGGATGCTTTGCTACTGAGCTACAGCCCATGCCCTCAGCCAAAGAGCTGCTGCCAGTTGATTACAACTGCAGGCATGTGATGTGGAAGGATTTCCCCTCCTCTCTGTCATTCCTATTGTCGGGCAGATTCCTGGACCTGGGAAAGGCTGTGCCGGCTGCCTCTGAGCAGCATGTCCCTCAATCCTGTTAGGTTCATTAAAGGCCCTGTCAAGCTTTGCAGCATCTCACTGAGGAGCCAATTAGTGGTTTACAGATCAGCAGTCTCTCATTAGGCAGTCCCCAGCAGAGCGCTGGTGGTTTTCTTTCTCATCAAGGCACATTGCCAGGTGCCAGGCCCTCGATGCAGCCCCCTAGGAGTCGGGAGGCCCAGCCGAACCCTCGGCAGAGAATGTTTGGCTTTGTCCCAAGCCGTTCCAGCTGCTCTGACAAGTTGATTGCTGTGTGCTCTTTGAATCTCAGGCACTCTCAGCTGTTGGAGTTGGTTGCAGCTACCCTCTTGGTATGTGAGCAGAAATGACCAGCTAATGGATTGATGTGTTTTGAAACAACACGATCGCAGACTCCAGGGGAAAAGTGACAGGCTTCCCCCTCTCCCACACACACACACACACACACACACACACTTTTTATCTTTTTCGTTTTACAAAAAGCAGTTTTGCAAGAGTTGCTTTTAAAATCGTGGGCTTTCTGCGCTTAAGAGTTTTCCGAACAAGGTTTTACACCTCGTTGATCAGCTGCCGGAGTTTGTGGCTGGGTCTCTAGAATTTCATGCAGCAGGTTGAAACTTCTTTGGTTTGTTTCTTCCTGAAAATCACAAAGGAGGGAGCGGGAGGGAAATGAAGGGCGCCATAGATTGGAAAGGGCAGAGCTGGTAAAATGCCACTCAACACTCTGGGAAACAGGGGTGGTTACTCATAGCTTGTGTAGTTTTCATTTAACTGCACTGAGTGGGGCTGAATGATCTTGAATGCACCAAGTTAGAGAAGGCTGATCTAAAGTATCTCAGTTGTGTCTTTTTTGTTTTCATAGTATTGAGTTGCTTGTGCACCACTTAAGGTAAAAGGTAAAGGTACCCCTGCCCGTACGGGCCAGTCTTGACAGACTCTAGGGTTGTTCGCCCATCTCACTCAAGAGGCCGGGGGCCAGCGCTGTCCGGAGACACTTCCAGGTCACGTGGCCAGCGTGACGAAGCTGCTCTGGCAAGCCAGAGCCGCACACGGAAACGGCGTTTACCTTCCCGCTAGTAAGCGGTACCTATTTATCTACTTGCACCCGGGAGTGCTTTCGAACTGCTAGGTTGGCAGGCTCTGGGACCGAACAACGGGAGCGCACCCCGCCGCGGGGATTCGAACCGCCGACCTTTCGATCGGCAAGCCCTAGGCGCTGAGGCTTTTACCCACAGCGCCACCCGCGTCCGTGCACCACTTAAAGACTGCAGCAATTACGTGGTATATAAATTGTTGGAACAACAACAACAACACTTGTAAATAAGCCCACAAAAATTGCTAGCCTGCCCACCCCCCAAAAAAATACTAGCCTATTGTGGTCTGGCAGAGGATAACTGCCTCTTCTGTAGCAGTCAGTTACATCTCTATATTGGAGCTCTCCATCCCTCCTTCTCTGTTCCTCTCACTTGCCTGCATGGAATTCTCTGAACTCTCTTGTGTGCCAGTTCTTCTTGCCTGTTTCTACCAGACAAATCCTAGCCTCCATGTTTTACAGAGAGAAGTGTTAATTTTCATCAGTCGGTACTAATACTGGATGGGGAACCTGTGGCCTTCCAGGTGTTGTTGGGCTCTTTAACTTCCATTTCTCCTGACCTTTGGCCATGCTGGCTGGGGCTGGTGGGAGTTGTAGCCCAACACCCCCTGAGGGCACCAGCTTCCTCATCCCTGTATTAAAACAGTCTGACTCACCAGCAATACCAATCTGAATGGGCGCAAGTGAAATTCTGTGCTCTGCTTCCTTCCTTTCGTGTTCCCTTCTAACTATTGCCAGCCAATATCCTAGGATCCCAGTCATTTCCCCATTTCTGCTCTGGTTCAATCCAAAATTGTGCTGGGGCTGCAGGGGGTGGAGTTTGGACTTTGGTAAAGCATTGATTACAACCATGAAAACTTGTGCTACGCTTTGAAGTTGGAAATGGGTACGTAAGGGGCTTTCCAGGGACTTGTATGGCTTCCCTATACTTCTAAATCTCCCCTTCCTCTTTCTGCAGATGCTGCATTCCTTGCTAGAGAGAAGGCGAGGGCAGATGCTGAATGTTATACTGCTTTGAAGATGGCAGAAGCCAACAAGGTTAGCTGTTCTTCCACACAGCTGGCATCCTCAGCTTGGGGTTGCATGTTCCCCATGGCTCATACTCCTGCGGGGAAACAAACATGGTGCTGTCATGGTACTTTGGACTACAGCTAGCACTGCCAGTGATCAGGGATGTTGGGAGCTTACTCCAATAACATCCCAAAGACATCCCCATATTGGCTACTGCTTCTGTAGACGCAAAGTCTGCGTGATTATGATTTGACACGGGTTTGTGGTCTCTTGGGCCTAGTTCTTACTCAGATTGCAACTGGGCTAAGACTGAAGTGCTTTAACACAGGGATGGGGAACCTGTGGCCTTCCAGATGCTGTTTGACCACAACACCCATCATCCCTGACCATTGACCATGCTGGCTGAAATCTAGCAGCTTCCTGGAGGCCATAGCTTCCTCATCTCTGCTCTAAAATGTCATGCCCTCCCTGCATCTCACTTAGCGGCCCCACCATCGAGACGCACAAAGTTCCTTTTTCGTATCATTTTTGCATTGTTTCCAATCTGTCGTTAGCCACCTTGGAGATAATTTGATCCATAGGCAGAACCTGGGTCTCCCAAGTTCACCTCCGCTGTCGGAGGCAGTGTGCTTCTGAATATCAGTGGTTGGAAAGTGCAGGAGGGGGAGAGTGTTTTTGGCGCTCAGGTTCTGCTTGTCCCACTGGGGCACCTGGTTTGCCACTGTGAGAACAGGATGCTGGACTAGATGGGCTATTGGCCTGATCCGGCAGGGCTCTTTGGGTGCTCTTGGGTTTTAAATGATCTCTCTAACCCTGGGCTCTTGATGCGCTTTCTCTTCTTGCAGCTAAAACTGACTCCAGAATACTTGCAGCTCATGAAGTACAAAGCAATTGCCACCAACAGCAAGATCTACTTTGGCAAAGATATTCCAAACATGTTCATGGACCACGCTGGGACTTCCACAAAGTCTTCAGAAGGACCCACAGAGGAGCAGAGAGATGAAAACTGGCTAGGAGCAGGGGAGGGTTTGTGAATCTTGAGTCTGGCCAACGGGGCAACCTGATCTTTGAATGAATGGAACTGATGCCTAGCGCCTCTCCTCAATGTGATTTCTTTCTCTCTTCTGGGATGTCGGAGAAGAGCCAGGCAAAGCTGTGCTTTTTTAAAAAAAAAGTGTTGGGAGGGGGAGGCAGGCTGGTTTGTTGGAAGCACACAATGGGACAGCTTCCTGACTTATTTCTCAGCAGTCAGATTCACTGTCATGTTTGTGCTCGTGTGGATAGAGAAAGCAACACTGAATCACACTAAGAGGCTGCAGCATTTTCCTGATGGACTCTGCAGCCAATCAGTTTCATTGCCGTTGAAGAAGGGGAGCCGTTTCTTGCTAGAAACTGTTCTTTCCTCTGGCAGTTGTGCACATGTTACAAGTCAAGTCCAACAGGTGGGTGATAAGCATCTTACCCAGCAAATTCAGCAATCGGAAGGAGTTTCTTTCTGTCTCTCTCTCTTTCTCTCCTTTCTTACTGGTCTTTGAGTGCTTGATGTAGCCCAAATTTGATAATATGCACACCAGCTAGATACCAACTACATGTCCTTCCTGGATTATTAGGATTCATGAGCATGCTGTCCAACCGTTGGATTTTACCTGTAGCATATATGTTGACCCCATTCCACCCTCAAATAAAGGTGCTATGTTTTGAATTAAAACACACAGAGACACTACAGATTCTAGATTTTGGCTTGTGTTGTGGAGCATTAAATATCAGCACACTAAAGGGGTGTCCAAATGGTGCTTATTTCACGATGCATCCATATGGTACATCTGAACCCCACAGTCCACCATCCTCTCCTGATGTGCTGATAGGGACAATCACAGGACCAGTGTTGGGTGGAATGCAGGCTTTGCCCGCACAGTAATGGTCTGTCTAAGTGAGGCTGTCACAGGGGAATAAGTTACCTTTTCCAGGAATGTTACTTCTGCACGAGAGAGCATTGGTCAGCCAGATGGACACCCTGCATTCGCAAATTGACCCTGGCTTGCATCCCTCTTTCTAGACCATGCATGCAAAACTGGTCATCCATCAAGCCAAGCTCACCAGCCATGTAATCATGGCCTGCTAGATGTTATACACACACACACCAAGTTTCAACTAATTTACTAAGACCCTAGCAGGCCACCGTACATGGCTTGTGTTTCAGCTTGGCAAATCTCTAGTTGCACACCTGCGTTCTAGATTGTAAACCAGCAGCCAGATTCTCTGTTTCCCTCAGCTTCATGGGTGCAACTGTGCTAGTCCAAATATTTCAGTGTCTTCCTAGAGGAAGGCATTTGGTGGATTTCCACCCCATGCTTGCTCATAGCAAAGGTTTCCAGCGGTGAATAGCATTACTTTGTACTCATTCTGACCTCATTTTTAGCTCTTGCAGGGTTGCTTTTTGAAGTGATCCTTTGAGTGATGCTTTGGGGGAATTATTTTTGAATTGGCATCAATGCAGTTGTGGATTTTTGTCCTGGGGACAGCCCTGTGAGCTGCCTTCAGCTTATGTAGTTGCATCCAAGTTCTTCCATTAGCAGTAAACTCTTCTTCAGATGATGCCCTTGGTTAGACTGTAAATGTCAAACCACTTCCTCTAGAATACACCCGTTCGTGTTTGTTCTAGAAATGGTTGTTCCAAAGCAGCTGGCAGGCTTTGATTTAGAGGTGGGCTTTGCTTTGTTTCCCTGATAACTGTGCCATCTTACATTAGTCTGTGCTATAAGTTTGTTCAGTATGAGGAGTGTAATGGGGAAATTCTGACCCTCCAGAAGCTGTTGAATTCCCAGTTCCCATCAGCCCCAGACAGTGTGGAAAGAAGCCAACATCTAGTATCCCATTGTTGTGTTGGGATATTCGGTGACTTCTATTTTCCAGAGATCATATTAAGCGTATGCACCTTGTAGACCTTGGATTCTATCCAGTGCTATTTCTACTCATAGTGCGCCCACTGAAATTAATAGAGATAGCTAACTTAGGCCCCTGAATTTTAATGGGTGTTCTCTTGAGTAGGTGTTAGTTGGACGCAGCTCCTTATTATCAGCCCTCAATACAATGCCAATGGGTATACTCAGAGTAAGAAGACCTGGAAGCCTATTACATAACCTTGATTAGTTACACACAAAATTGGCTGTGTAGTCAAGGCCTTCATTCTTGCAGTGTGTGAAACTTCCCTTTGACATGACAGATAAGTGGATTTTGGAGTTGTTGGTTTGTTATCAGGCCTGTCCAGTGACACCCTTGTCGACAGGTTCCTGGCTTTCAAAATACTCATTGTCTCTTACAGCTTGCTGCTCTGTGTTTTAAACATGGCGTGGCCTCTTTCGTAAATGGGGCTGAGATGCAAAGAAACACTAAGCTCTGGTCTCCAAAGTACTTATCGCTCCTCTATTTTTGCTTCCAACCATAGTCCCATTCTTCCATACCAGGTTAGTACAGAGCAACAGCTACACTTAATAAGGCATCATCTTGCTAAGCTCTCCTCTATATCTGCCCCATAGTTGGGCGCGACATCACAATTATCCAGCTTCTACTTCAAAACTTGTTTTGTTTATGCATAACAAAGGTCAACCACAAAAGCTTTCTGCTTTGCTTCTTGCTATCTCCCTAGTTCTGATTCTGCAAATGCCCTGGAATTATTTTTGAATGAGGTGTTACAGATTTCTGGGACTAGGGCTGATGTGAATGCGCTTTTTAAAATTAGTCTGGTTGTCATAATTCCTGGCTTAATGGGATGCTTGCCATAGGTCTGTCTAAAAGGGTGGTTTGGACAGTCTGATAGACTATACTGTGGTGTGCTGTGCTCTTGCAAGATGACTTTAGAAGTGAACAGCAACCATAGGCTGCTACTTCCTTTTGCTTTCTTAACTTGTCCTTTCAATATGCAAACAGGGCAGCATCCCGAAACTGCATTTTTGTAAAATGGGAATAATAAGTTGTGAGTCTGCAGTCCCCAAATGGGCTTAGAGAGTCCCAGACACTTAGCCAGATGTGCCTTAGATTTCTTTCTGATGGTTCCCACATTACAAACCACAGGTCTCCTTGGCCTCCCCCACCCCACCGCTTTCCTGTTTGCATCTTCCACGTGCAAAATAGAGCCCCCCCCCCCCATTCCTCTTGGAGTGAAAGGAGATCCAGATTATTGATGCTCCCAAGGTCCACTCAAGATGAAAGGTACAGTCCTTGGGAACCTCTTTTAAGTGTAACATTACAAGCCTGTCTGATGGTGATGTATATTCAACACCTAACTTTGAAAACAGAAAAAGCTGTACTGTACTCTGTCCTGTGGTAGCTCGTATTAGGCTTAGTTTCCATTGAGGTAGTAGAACCTGCATTGGGGCTTTATATTGTAGGTCTGGCTCGTATGATTGCTGCTCCATATAAAAACAAATCCTTCCATGCCCACCTAGCATGTCTAGGGGGATGTGAAGTTGACATTCTTTTCCTTGACATGCTATTCTTCTAAGTGCAGGTTTTAATTTTAATGGAGGAGCAAGCATGTAATCCCTCACCTGCAGTCTCAAGTGGTACATTCCAGACAAACGTTGACCACGTCTGTGAAACTTTGGCCCTGTTTTGAACTTTAGTGAGTTTGTGCTGAGCATTGCAGGCGCTAAGGGAGATGTTGACCTATGTGATATGCAAGTATTTCTTAAGCAAATGCTTGAAAGATTGTGATGTTCTGTTTAGCAAGCCCCACATGTCCATTAGAGCAGTGTTCCCCAACCTTGGGCCTCCAGCTGTTTTTGGACTACAACTCCCATCATCCCTCGCTAGCAAGACAAGTGGTCAAGGATGATGGGAATTGTAGTCCAAAAACAGCTGGAGGCCCAAGGTTGAGGAACACTGCATTAGAGGACCACATACTAAGGCACGGCATTGGGGATTGAAAACTATATTATCTTGAGTTCATGCTGCTTGCTTGGGGCAGGAGGGCTGTTCTGTTGGGATCACTGAAAATTACAGCAGTGATTTGAAAATTGTAGTGTCTTTTAACGTCCATAAGGTGATTTTACCAACCACTGGACACCTTAATAAATAACTTGATATATGTCCGTCCATGCCTCTTGTAACATGAGAAACAGGAAGTTGAGTCTGATTGTCATAGGCACTTGCAATGTATGTCTTGATTCCCTTTCCCTCAAAGCACGTTTCTTTCTCACACTTGACCTGAGCATCAGGAGGTACCGATTAACTTCTTAATACGTGAAGCAACCTTGATATAGGTGTATGTGTGTTGTTAATGTATCTGTGATTCATCCGTGTTTTAAAAACATTAAACATGGATGGCAGAAGACAAACTTTCACAATGAAATTTGGTAGAAGGTACGAGAGAGAAGAAAGGGGGACCTTTGCTAATAAATAAACCTATTTCTGTCTAATGATTTGCTTTGCTGCCTTCTCTTTTTTCTCCCCTCACCCCAGCATGATCCACCAGCCAGGCAAAATGCAGTTTCTAGCCTCCGAGCTGAAGCTAGGAATTGTTTTTGTGGCACACACCTGAGCTGATAATGTCAAACCTGTCTATTTTCCTTTCGCATCGGAGTTCTAAGTGAGCATCCAAAATCCAGAATGAGTTAAGCTTAAACATCTGCTCCAGTCTTGCTTTTGGACTGGTTACTTTATTGCTGAACTTGAGTGGCTATTTGTCTATGGCGTGAATATGCTAGAATCTACCTGATGCTACATGTCAGTTTCATCAGGAAGTTACTAAGGGATGGTTTCCGAAGCACTAAAGTGGAATAGGTAGACACTGAAGTGTGTATGTAGCTCTTTTCACATCATCCTTGCAGTAAAATTCCTGTCTAGTATTGTGTCAGATGCTGGAATAGAAAAAGACACAATTCCCCCCCCCCTGGCTTTCATACTATCACACTTTGCAGATAGTATTATGCATGTAAAAGAATGTAAAAATTAAGTGGGAAAATGTTTATATTAGACTTGTGGGATGCAATTCCTGATTTTTTTATTTTTGGTCCTGCTGAAAGGGTGGGGGATATTTTCTTACACAAGCTTTTTTTAACTAGCAAAAACTAAATTCCAGCAAAGCCAAAGTGTATTATATGACTTCTTTTATATGACTCTGATGTAAAAAGATTGGTTAGAATAACTAAGTCTTTTGATTCTTTTTATATATAGAGAGAAGTTCTCTAAAGAAAACTTAAAACCACTATTCAATAAAGAGCAGCAAATATTAATGTGAATAAAGAATTAAGGTGTAGATTTCTCCTGATAAAACAATTAAATTCTTTCCAACCTGTTAGGTGCTGGAAATGCAATTTAACAAGATTTTTGTTGTTTTAAGTGTGATTTCTGCTTCATGGAAATGAGATAGATGCCTTTTCTGAAATGCTCTTTGGGCTCTTAGGAAATAACTTTTTTATAATTCCTTTTTGTATGTGCATTGAACAAAGTAACACTGAATATATTTTCCTCCTTTTTCCTGTGTGCAAGCTTTGCAAAGAGGATGTGAATTCTTAAAGCAGATTTTCTTAATGAGGGTGAAATGGTGACTATCACTGTCTTGGCCATCATCCGTTCAAATATGCTGCTGTCTTTTCTGACTCTCTTGGAATGTTTTCAATAGCAATTGTGTATCAGATTAAAACCAGCCTGTATGTTTCAATATTGTAATGAATAAAATGTTCTTCACTTTTAAGATTAGTGTCAATGGAATGGGCAGATCCATTGTGTATGGAGGGGGGCACTTCAGAGTTAAAGTCGGGATCAGTGCTCATTCTGCTGAGGTTCGAACTATTTATATAAGGGCTATCGAAATATTTGCAAAACTTAGGAGCTAGGCATTTCCCCCCATGTCTTCCATGAACACAGTCTTAACAGTGAGTCCGTAAGTGGCTGTGGAGGCCATTTCCACAGTGGGGACATAGGTTTCTGGGCAGGAGTTGATCACAGTGAGGGTTTGCCAAGCGTGCCTTCCTCTTAGCACGTTTCCCCCTTTCTTCCTGAGCTCGAGCGTCTTCAAAGTCCATGACACCTTTGGTAAAGGCTGTTCTCCAACTGGAGCACTTGCAGGCCACTGTTTCCCAATTGTCAGTGTTTATCTGAGTCGTACAGTCGTACCTTGGTTGCTGAACGCCTTGGAACTCATACGTTTCGGCTTCCGAACAATTGAAAACCAGAAGTGAGTGTTCCGGTTTTTGAATGATTTTCAGAAGCTGAACGTCCATGGTGTGGCTTCTGCGGTTTCCGATTGGTTGCTAGTCTTCCTCTTTCCAATCCTGTTGGGCACCATCAGCCTATATCCAAGACCAGCCATGAGCCCGTAGAGGTTTCTAGAGAGGGCAATCTCTCTGACTTTTCAAAAGTTAGAAGGTTCTCGTAATCGTATATTACTAGGAGGTGGTTTTAACTGGGATCTCTTGTATCTTCTTGTTGGACTGGGTCCTCCTTTGGGCCACATAGGACCCTAAATCTCTGCATATTATGCATACCTATAAATCTGCCACTGGGACACACACACACACACGACAACCCCTTGAGGTTGGAGCCAGCTCATTAGCAATGGAACGAGGAGTGCCAGCTGAGGGGAAATGGAGAGGGTGTTGGAATGGATATCCTGGTGAGGTTTCATGAAAAGAATAACGGAGAGGGTATTGGAATGGAGTATCCTGGTAGGTGTTCAAGAAAATAATGGAAAGGGTGTTGGAATGGAGTATCCTGGTGGGAGAGTTTCAAAAAAATAATAATGGAGAGGGGGTGGAATGGAGTATCCTGGTGAGGTTTCCTGAAAAGTATAATGGAGAGGGGTTGGAATGGAGTATCCTGGTGGGAGGGTTTCATCCCTGGACAGTGGTATTCCTAGTAGCTGGTGCGATGCAGATCTTCACAACAACCCTGTGAGCGGGTTCAGAAACAGCTGCCAGTGCGTGCACGGCGCTGCAGGTACCGAATCCCAAAGATTCCTTCCTTTGGAGTTCTGTTCTGGACTGATCCATGACGCCTCTGAAATTCCTGCTCGAAAAACGCTGGGAAACATTTGGAGCTGCGATCACTGCGCCAGCGGCGCCTCCCGCGCATGCGCTCTGGGGGAAAAGCATCCCCTCCGCTTCCCTTCCCCCGCAGCGGCTTTTCCCTCGGCCGCCCTGAGCTGCGGGTCCCCGACCTCTCCAAAATGGCCGAGGGCCGAGCCCAGCCCGCAGGCCTGAGCCCGCCTCCTCCGGGCCCCACCTCCCACCCTCATTGGCCAGCCGAGCAGGGCTTGGAGCGGCGATTGGCTGCCTGCAGACGGCTGCGTGTGTGGCGGAAGCCCGGCCCAAGATCCGCGGCGCGGCTGGGGAATGTGGAGAGCGGGGATGGCTGCCGGGGAAGGCCTGGGACCGGCGCTCAGGGCAGTCCAGGAGCGGGTGCAGCAGGCGGCGGCCAGCAGGCCCAAGGTGCGAGGCGGGCGGGCGGGCGAGGAGCTGGGCGGCGGCGGCCGGCCGGGCGGCGGCTCCTGCCCTGGAGGCGGCGGGTGGGACAGACCTGGCGTGGCCTGCGGATCGCTGCTCGCTGCTGCTGTTATTAATAGCCTATGTGAATTTTAACGTGAATAACTTATTACCGGGTTCCCCCTTTTTTTAGGAGCATAGCCAGCTGCCTTTTACCAGATCAGAATTTTGGTCCACCTAGTCTAGTGTTTCCTGCACTGACTGGCAGCAGCAGCCCCCCCCCCTTGCGCAGGGCCTTTTCAGCAAAGGCCCCGGCATACATAAAGAGGGGACGCCTGGGGGTAGCACACAGGGACCGGGAAAGCATGCAGGGAGGTAGTCGGGTCGTGGATATCATGCACGATGAATGTTGATTGTGATCTAGAAAAAGAGGGGTGGTTGGCTTCATATTTTTCTGTTGCAACAGAGTTCCCTCCCCTCCTAGCAAGGAGGGAAGAGAGACCCAGAGCCAAGAAGAAACATCTCTTTTAAGGGGATGGCGTTTTGGCGTGGAGGAGGAGGACAGTCCCTTCTACAAACAGTCAGAAATTACATCCCACCTAAGGCGGGGTTACTGTGGCTCAGGCAGGCCAAGGTGGGATATTCCTGAGGATTTAGCAAGTCTCGCATAGTTCCAGCCACAGTTTACACAAAACATTAGCATTTGATAAGACCATCAGGATACCTGTCAGACATCCCTCAATGCAGAGCATCTGGGCAAACAATGACAATTAATTCAAAGGAGGTTTATAGATATAGGAGAGGAATCCCTTCAGGAACTTCCCCTGATTGCTATCTGAGTTCTCAAGCAAGGAGGATTAAGGAGGCAGAGGAAATATTTAGGAGTCCCAAGATGACTTTTGGATTGCTCTCCTGTACTATTTTAGACATGTGGTTTATATACCTATTTATGTATGTTTACCTTGTGCAATTATCAAAATTTATTCTATATTTGAGACAGTAGAATTACTACAACAATTATGTTCTCCATCAGGTGTCAGATTGATCCCCCTTGGAAGTGATGGTTGAACTCTTAAGCAAAAACACTTGCAAATGACACCCCTCTGGTAGCCAAATCTACTCTGGCAGTGTTACGTTAACGTGTGGCAATTTTATGCTGTAAATCATAGAATCACGCTGCAGGCTCATAGAAGAAATGTCTTGCTTTTTGCCCTCTGTTGTTCCTTGTGAAGGCCTTTGACCACAGACAGTGAATTGAATGGAATTGATTGACTGGCAGCAGCACTCCACATTCCTTGCCCTGCCTGGAGATGCTGGGGAATGAGCCCAGGGGCTTTGCAGGTGAAAAAGATGCCCTGTCCCCTATGCAGTCCTGCTAAAGTGGCGGGATGCAGAGGAGAGGACAGGACTCCTGTACCTTTCAGTAGATGTGCAGAAGAGGGACTTGATACACAGCAAGCTATACCTGCTGAAATTCACTCTTATACACATCTACTGAAAGGTACAGGAGTCCTGTCCTGTTCTGTATCTGCCCTCATCTCAGAAATTCCTATAAGCAATTAAGTAGGGATTAAGCACCACTGAATACAGTTGGACTTTCTTCCAAGTAAGTGTGGATGGGGCTGCTGTATGTTCACAAAGCAAGACTCGGGATCTCTTTGAATCAGAACCAACGTGCCTTAAGAACCATGAAAAGTAAATGCTGTTAGGTTCAGCGGGTCCTACTCCCAGGGCAGCAGCTATGGGATTGCATTCGAAGTTACTCTAATGGAATTTATTATAAATAAAATAATTGAGGTCGGAAGCCCAGTTTAGGGCAGATTCACAAATGGATGTGTTGTTACCGGTTGCTGCTGTTGTGGATGGTCATTTGGCTTGTCTTAAGCTTTGTGTCGCGTTGTCATAGTCAATACCTATTGCATTTCATACTCATTTAGCCTCGTTTTAAAACATTTTTCCTCCCTCTCACTTCAGTATTCACTGAAGTGAACTATTAATCCATGGAAGATTATGCTACAACGCGTCTGTTAGTCTTTAGGAACCTTTGTGGTTTTTCCACGTTAACTCAAAACAGAACATGTGAACTTGTCTCCATTAAAAAACAAAGTTCAAGGTGGACGTGAGATAATATGAAATCTCTTATCGGTGCCTGTTGGCCTGCGATAAATATTTCCCATGTTCCAGTCACAGAGTTGTGAGCATCCCCACGTGCACTTGGCCACTGACCATTTCTTTCTTTGCAAATACAGGGATTGCCTGCTATACAGCCTCGCCTCGTAGCTGTCAGTAAAACGAAGCCAGCGGAAATGGTGATTGAGGCCTACAACCATGGGCAGCGCAGCTTTGGAGAAAACTATGTGAGTGTCCTCTCCGTTTCTGCATTGTTTGGGTTTCAGGACCAGAAGGAAATAAGGCCTGGAGCTGCTGACATGCTCACAAACCAGATGGTCACAAAATATTTCATTAGTCCCACATCACCCTGGAGAAGTGTGGCATAGCTGGGGAGTAAACGTTACAGAGACAACTTAAGTGGCTTTAAAAGATTTGCAAATGGAGAGAAGGCTGCTGCTCTCAGGTCACGCTTTCAGGCTTCTCATAGGCCTCAGGTTGGCTGCTCTGAGAGCAAGGTGCTGGGCTAAGTGGTCTGATCCATCAGACTCTTCATATGATCCTAAATTTGCTAAACTGAAACTTTGAAAAATAAGGGACCCTTCGTGTCTGTGAAGGAGGAAGACAAGCCTGGCTCATGCATGAGGCAAGGTGAGGCGACCGCCTCAGGCAGCAGGATCTACAGGGATTTGACAATTGTATTCCAAGTGTGGTTGCATCATTTGTAAAAAGGCAATGTGATATTGGAGGTTCGATTGTCAATCCCTTTGCCATTGAGCTTGGAAGTCACCCTTTTCACGGCTGTTGGCAGCCTCTTCCATAATGTATACCAGCAAGGTGCAATCTGATGTCATGAAGGCAGGCCTGAAAGGTTGTGACAATAGCAGAGATAAGTCTGGATCTGGCCACATTCCCACATTCTCATTTATTTCGAAATGGCTTCTGGAGGTCTTTAAAATGTAAGCTAGACATGCAGATATCAGTTTGCTCATCACTGTGCAGCAGTAATGTTCTATTACGGCTGGTTAATTTGAGTTGCGTAGTCCAAATGAGTGAACATGGGGAAATAATTGCACTAATGTTGGATACAGGGGCATCAATGTGGTTTGAAGCATTTTCTTGGACAGAATAACTGTGGGAGCAGTTGCCAATCTGATGCATGGCTTTGTACTCAAGAATAGTGTCTATTAGCAGTTTTACAAATGGATATTGCCTCTCTTGTAAAATGCTGCTCATTAACCCTTTTGCCTTCTGTTGAGGCATAATTGGAACTCACTGTCTTAATGCTATGCACATTTGCTTGTAATGTTCACCACTGGTTTGACATCGTATGGCTGACTTCGCCATCTCTTCCTCCTCATGCACCTCCCTATCTCCTTTGCAGCTTGGAAGGACTTCTGCTAAGATTAGTTTTACTTAAAAAAAACCAAAAACTTGGCTTAGTGTTAATGTTTGAACTGGGAATCCTTCTTTAAGATTAACTCTGGTGAGTTTTATAGCAAATCAGCTTCCAACCTTTGATTATGAAACTGTCATTGTTTTAAACCAGGACCCCTTGTTTGAATGCACCACTGAGTCATCATTCTTTTACTGTGAAACTAAGCGTGGCAGAAGTCTTCCTCCTGGTCACATGGGAGGAGGATAGGGGAGGAATGTTGTGCTTAGTCCATTCTGCATTAAACCAAGGATGGAGAAGCTGTGGCTGTCCAGATGTTGTTGGACTACAAATCCCATTTTCCTGGACTAGTGGCCATGTTGACTGGGACTAATGGAGTCCAACAGTATGTGGACAGCCGTCAGTTCCCCACCTCTGCACTAAACCATGGCGTTTAGCATTGCATGTGAACAGAGGCACTTGTAAGTCAAGGTGGTTGAGTTAGAGGTAAAGCAGAGCAAGCCTGGCAAAATTTAATCCATGTCTTAACTTTCTACAGGTCCAAGAACTTCTAGAAAAGGCATCAGACTCCAAAGTAAGTTCATTTTGTGTGCTAGATAAAATCCTCATTCTGTCAAGTTGGCAGAGGCTTGTTTCCGAAAATTGACTAGTAAGCTCATGTTCAGAGAAGAATCTCTCTGTTTGCCTTTCAGTAGCTGTTCAGTTCTTTATGTATAAATAGCAGATAATCTTGGCCAAGATGCTTCTTTTTGTTGCGGAGCCCCAGTCATTTGAAATAATTTTCGAGCACAGATGGCAGCCTATATGCTGAATCTGTCGCAGCAGAGGTTATTTACACTGACAGCGAACTGCTACTAAGTGTGTTAACTGCCATCAAAATAATTTTAACATTTGAGGGGCCTTGGATGAGATTTGCCCCTCTCTTCTTACACAGGGACCATCCTTTGTCTTTATTATGAGCCACTTTATGACGGCTTTCTGCCTTGAAAATTGAGTTATAAATAAATAAAAGTGAAATCATCCTTCACTTGCAAGTGTTCTATGGATGCCTAGCATGAAAATGAATTTCAAATTCTACCCACTTGCCTCTGTTCTCAGATTCTTTCTTCGTGTCCAGAGATTAAATGGCATTTCATAGGCCACCTACAGAAAAACAATGTCAACAAACTCATTGGTAATAATAATTTCTTTTTGTGCTCACTTATTGGGGGGGGGGCAGGGAGACAACAAGAAATCCTTTGTGTACATTGGGGGGGGAGTTGTAATGTGCTCACTTCAGTGAATGCACTACTGTTACCAGCTCTGACTTAAGGAGATCCTGATTTTGAGATGCAGTTAATTTTTAACAGTGCAGGACATAGAACCAGTGATTTCTCCAAAAATTGAAATTGGGGCTTGGAAGGATTTATTTTTCCCAGGTCCTAGGGGCTGCTGCTGTTAGCAAACATGAACTTGGACCATGTGGCACACTATTTTTTATTTTATTTTTAAATTTCACAGTCGTGGCCATTTCATAAGATTTAGCTTAGTTTTCAGTAGGTCAGCTGTACTTGCATCCTCCTGAGTTGTAATTTTGCACAGCTCTGTTAATGGATCTGAATGCAGTGTGGTAATTTCCAGTGGTGTCTCGTATGTCTGGTCCTTCAGTTGATAAACTTATTTAGTTAATTCATAAGATCAGGCAGAAGGTGACTGAGAGACCAGCTTCTATTTTTGCTATTTTTTTGCTTTTTGTATGTGCCGTGGGCAAAGGGACCTTTTCTCCTGCTTGGTTTAGGACAAGACGGTTTCTGTTCTCTCTTCCCCGTTCTAAGATGTTGTTTTGCATTATACATTTTGAAAACATTAGTTAAGAGGTGATTAATAATCTAGAAACCAGAAAGGAGCAAAAGGCCTTGTTGTTCAACCAGTCATCCAAAAGCAGGGCCAGCTGTCTCCCTTCACTAATGTTGGGGTACTGCCTGATATAGCCTTATGGTGCAGGGAGCATTGTGCTACTCAGGTAGAGAATGTACAGTTTATGCAAGGGTCCCTAACTTGGCAGTACAGCGCATACTGCACACTCTGAAATTGCATGAAACCGGTATGCTTTCTGCAATGGATATTTGCTCAGATTCTTCTTTAAATGTCGTCTAGCGGTACCTAACCTATTTATGCTGGAAACGGTGGATTCCCTAAAACTGGCGGACAGAGTGAACGGGTCTTGGCAGAAGAAGGGGTCTTTGGAGAAGCTAAAGATCATGGTGCAAGTGAACACCAGTGGGGAAGATAGTAAGTAGATTTGATGTTGTTCTCCCCTCTCACATGCCAAAGGTTGAGGCTTGCATTTCAGCCTTCTTTTAAAGAGCAGCACTTTCTTTGTATGATCCTCCTTCATACGCACACAAGTATGACATGTGAATGCATGGAAGGGTGATTTTGGGCTCTTTGAGGCTTCTGTGTGCCTTGCAGGACATCCGGAAAAGGAATCCTTCTCACAGGCAGCTGAATGCACTTGGCTTTCGGAGCAGTTGGGATTCCTGATCAGGCAGGATATGGTCTAGATTCTTCCTAGCAAGGCTGCCTTCACCACTGGGAGGCAGCAAGGTACAGTGTTTACAATGGTACCTCTGGTTGCGAATGGGATCCGTTCCATTGGCCCGTTCGCAACATGAAAAGCATGCAACCTGAAGCACCGTATCTGCACAGGTGCACGGCGTGATTTAGCGCTTCTGCGCATGCACAAGCAGCAAACCCCAGAAGTAACCCTTTCCGGTACTTCCGGGTCATCGCGGGACGCGACCTGAAAAAAGTAACATGAAGCAAACGTAACATGAGGTATGACTGTGTAGAGTTGGACTAAAACAGAGGAGTAAAGGTAAAGGGACCCCTGACCATTAGGTCCAGTCGTGGCCGACTCTGGGGTTGCGGCGCTCATCTCGTTTTATCGGCCGAGGGAGCCGGCGTACAGCTTCCGGGTCATGTGACCAGCATGACTAAGCTGCTTCTGGCGAACCTGAGCAGCGCACGGAAACACTGTTTACCTTCCCGCCGGAGCGGTACCTATTTATCTACTTGCACTTTGATGTGCTTTCGAACTGCTAGGTAGGCAGGAGCAGGGACCGAGCAACGGGAGCTCACCCCGTCACAGGGATTTGAACCGCCAACCTTCTGATCGGCAAGCCATAGGCTCTGTGGTTTAACCCACAGCACCACCCGCATCCCTTAAAACAGAGGAGACACAGGTGCAAATTCACCACGAAGCTGCTTGAATGACCAACAAGCCAATTGGATTTTCTGAGCCTAACCTACCTCATAGGGTGGCTGGATGGATAGAAGGGGCAGGGAGGAAGAACTATATATACATCACCTGAGTTCCTTGGAGGAACAGAGGGTTGGACTGAACTTTGGAGGAACCTTGTATTGATTCACACCCTTGGTGCATCTAGCGCAGTATCCCCCTCAATGACTGGCAGTGGCTTTCTGGGATTACAGACAGAGGATATTCCCAGCCCTGCTTGGAGATGCCAGGGGCTGAACCAGGGACCTTCTGCATGCAAAGCAGATGCACCACCACTGAGCTGTGGTCCTCCCCCAGAGGTTGCAATAAAAATGCAATGTATAACAAGGCAGGATAGCTTGGTTGGTAGAGCATGAGACTCTTAATCTTGGGGTTGTGGGTTTGAGCCCCATATTGTGCAGAACATTCCTGCGTTGTAGGGGGTTGGACTAGATGATTCTCGTGGTCCCTCCCAACTCTTAAAATGCTATGATTAACAAATAAGCCTTTCTTTTTAAAGGTAAACATGGGCTGCCGCCTGGAGAAACCGTAACAACAGTGGCGCACATCCTCCAGAAGTGTCCCAGCCTGGAATTTGTGGGCTTAATGACAATTGGCAGCTTTGGGCACGACCTCAGTAAGGGGCCCAACCCTGACTTCCAGGTATTCCTGATCTGGGGGGAAATACTCGTATGCAAAGCTTGTCTTTTAAGAAAGGAGAGGGCCAAGCTCAATTGCATTGTCTTCCCTCCTCTGCAGATGTTGATATCCTTGCGCGAGGAGTTGTGCGACAAGCTCAGTCTCCCCATTGAAAAAGTTGAGCTGAGCATGGGGATGTCTACAGACTTCCAGCATGCAGTAAGTCAGTCTATTGCCTTTTGTTTTCTCTTTTTCTGCAGTTGCTAATCATGGGGCCTTTCTCCTTTCACTTCTTCTCTCCCTCCCTCCCTCCCTCCTAGCAGAGTGTCTGGCCCTCTGAGTGAGCAACCAAGCTCATGCTGGAACATTTGAGTAAATCTTGGTTTCCCCATGTGGACAGCTTCCCTGCTTCTCATAGGCAGCGTCATAAACCCGTGGGCTTGGCACTGAGCCCCATTAAATTCAATAGGACGTAACGTCTGAGTAGACATGGTCAGGGTTGCACTGATAAGTATGCTGCACATGTCTCTCTTTGCCTTCATTTCTCTTCCATTGCTCTCCCTTGCCTGGCTTCTCTTTTCTTACCAGACCAAACAGAAGCTGCTACTTCTTGTATTTAAATCCCTCCATCCAATGAAAGGTTCTTCTCTCTTCATTTTGTTCTCTTTATCTGCTGTCATGATCTCCACTGTGCTTTTAGTTTTTTCCTGGCTAAGCTTCACCTATTTCACACTTCCGAGTCTTTGAGTGTTTACACACCATACATTTAATATACCGTATTTTTTGTTCTATAAGACTCACTTTTTCCCTCCTAAAAAGTAAGGGGAAATGCGTGTGCGTCTTATGGAGCGAATGCTGGCTGCGCAGCTATCCCAGAAGCCAGAACAGCAAGAGGGACTGCTGCTTTCACTGCGCAGCGATCCCTCTTGCTGTTCTGGCTTCTGAGATTCAGAATTTTTTTTTCCTTGTTTTCCTCCTCCAAAAACTAGGTGCGCCTTGTGGTCTGGTGCGTCTTATAGTGCGAAAAATACGGTACATTCAGAACCTAACCTTGCCATCAAGAATCCTGGAAACTGTAGTTTACCTCATAGCAGAGCCCCCATTCCCAACACCCATAACAAACTACAGTTCCCAGAATTCTTTGGTGGGACCGGGTGCTTTCAATGTATGGTGTGCACACAGCCTTTCTTTCCCACTGTCCCTTTCTCTGGGGTGCTCTGCCTCCCAATTTTTCCCACTTCTTCCTCCTTGCAGCTGGCTTGAACTCTTACCTCTTCTTCCAAGCCTTTGACATCTCCTCCTTTCCCCATCTTCGCCTTGTGTCCTTCCTCCTCATTTATTTACACCATTTCTCCCTTCTTTTTAGATGGCAAGGTCTGTTCCTTCTTAGCAAAACTATTGGATTGTACTCTACTGTATTATCACAGATGCTTGTTTTTGCAGTTTTCAAAAGTGTGAATTTGTTGTAAATAGTAAGATTATACCAGCAATAATGAGTCTTTTTGTAAAAAAGAAAAAAGATTTAAATCAAGTCTTACTGACTAGTGATTTAAATCAAAATAAATCCACCCTGGATACACTACAGAGATTCCAGGTACTGGAAAGGTAAACAGAAGCAGGGAAAAGGCACTAAAGGGAGGGGGGAAACAGCAGCTCTTTAGGACCCCACAGAGTATCTTCATGTGTTATTTCTCCCCATGCAGCATCCAGCTCCAAAAGGAGCCAATATCCTGCCATCGACCCATTATGTCCAATTCCAATTAAATTTTTTGTTGTACCAGCCATAGGCCATGGCATCATTCAGAAGGAGAACAAAAAGAAAAAACAAGAAAAAAAGAACAACAATAACCATAAAAATCATCAGGCACAGGCATACAATAAAATCATGATCACGGCTACTAAAACTATTTGTTGCATTAAATAGAATAGAATAGCAGAAGATTCTCAGGTATGATGTGCCAAATTAAATATCCAAATCCCCTTTGCAGTTGACCGCTATTTTGTCTAGTTCCTTCCTCCTGATCTTAGCTGCCAGTGCATAGAGTGCTGCTTTATAAGTAACAAAGTCGTCAGTGTCACTCAGCAGCCATTTCACCCTTTCCACCCTATTCAGATGTGTTCCATTCGTAAACAGGGGTTTTATCAATCGGTCTCTTGGGTCTATATATACATATACATGAGAATGAAAAATGCTCTGGAACAGGGACTACATAATCGCATGAGCACTGTTCCAGAGTATTTTTCATTCTCATGTATATTATATCTATTTGAAAAAAGATTGGTTAATGAAGAAACTACGTATCTTTCTACTTATGAGTGTTGAACTAATTGGCTGATGAAGAATTAAACGAAACAGTAGTTGTTATCCAGAAACACTGTTCAGCAGAGTTCAGAGTTGGACATCAGAACTGGACATTTGCTGATTATACAAAGCTTCACAGCTTGCTCTCCACCGGGTAAAGTCTGGCACCGTGATTCATTTAAGGACTTTCAGAGACTTCAGTTTCTTAGTTTTGATGTTTTGAATTATTCCATAAAGTTTTTGACATTGTAATTGTTCCTGGCCATCGTGTCGCTTTTGATATTGCTTACTCATATTTCGCAACACAGGGGTTGGTTTGTTTACTAATTTACAAATGGGCAGCCAAGGCCTTTCAGATCTAAGTTCCAACTTCCAAAGCACCCGTGATTTTTCTCGTGATTTTTTTTTTGCTGCTTTGCAGATTGAAGTTGGATCGACAAATGTTCGGATTGGAAGCACCATCTTTGGAGAGCGAGACTACCCCAACAAACCTTCCAGCGACAAAGCCCCGAGGGAGATTAAAGGCCAGCTGGAGAATTTGACAGTGAAAGAGCACTAACAGGAGAAGGCCCTAGCGATTCCTTCCATGGAGGGAGGGGAATCCTTTCTGATAGACCTTTCTATGCACTTGACTTTCCCTTTGGGCTGACAGCTGTGGGACACCATCAGGTAATCAGAGGGCGTCGCAGGCACTTCGTCACATGTAATTTTAATATTGTATATCCATAGAGATTGAATTTTTCTAAAAAAAACAACCAGCAAATGGAGCACCAGTGATTGACAAGTGACTTTTGGTACCTTAGCTGAAGTGACTTTAGATAGCTGCTCTGGATAACCAGCTGACTTAAGCCCTACTAGGTCTGGGCAAGAAACATTTCCAGCTCTGAACATTACACATTTCTAATTGGAAACTTGGTTTCCCTGAGGTGGAAACCCCTCTTTGCGGGGGTGCCATGGCCATGCTCCATTGACTAAGCCCCCCTCCACCATCCCACTGAAATGCTTTATGGGTAAACTGCTGTGTCGTGTACCACCAAGCATCCTATCAGAGGTCGAGGTCTTAGACCCTTTCATGACACTAAAAAGCACCTGTTCGGCATGGGCAGTTTGCTGCTTGCTACACTGTGGAAAGAGATGAGTCAGGGTGCACTTGCAAGCTTAAGCTACTGGCAGCTTTTGAGCCACAGGTTGGGAAGATTTCTCTTTTTTTAGGTTGTATTCATCCTCCGAAGACTGCTGCTATGAGTTTTGATAGTCGACTGCATATCGCTTTCTCTCTCACATTATAAAATGTCCCTTTCCCCCCTCTCCTCTGGAAAATTGATGGTTGGAGTAGTTCTGCTAGGTAAAAGCAGTATGTTCTGCTAGCCAAAGCCGGGAAATTCCCTGACTCTGCTGCTGACTTGCTGTGTGATCTTGGCCAAGTCACTTAACCATACTGTGCCTGTGTCCCCTATATGAGAAAAACGGGGCTGACCTACCTCACGTGGGAGACCGAGAGGCTGTCGTGCCTGGAAAGTTCCTTGAAATGCACCCCCCCCCCTTCCCACACTCCCTAAACCCCACCTGCCCTGGAGGAAAGGCAATACTGCAGAGTAGAGCAGTCTCGGACAGAAGGCCAAACTAAACCTTAACTCCAGGCAGACATTCACACACTCGCCTGGGTGTGGGTGGGTGTGGCAGGGCAGCTTGAGCAGCGAGCCTGCAAGTAGCACATGTGTGCAGACACGGTTACCCTGGGCAAATGGTGAACTCCCAAATTTTAATGCAAAGCATCCTTATCCCAGATGTTGGGTCCCAAGTGGCAGAAAGCAACGAGTTGTTTCCCCACTGTACATATCTTAAGGTTCATTTAAAGCAGCCATCACTCTTGCTTCACTAAGACCTCATCTAAGTATTCATCTCTCCTCTGCAGCATCCCCAATCGGTGAAAATGTTTACAGTGAAATCTTGTTTTGTAACTCACATGTTGACAATCTACTTCAAGGCCCAGTCTGCTGCTACAAATGACTTTAGTCCCCAGTAGAAATATACCCTCCCCACCGGTCCTCTTTTCCCTAATAGCTTGGGAGTTTGGTGTGTCTTTGGGTTACTCCAGCGGTGTGTCTTTGGCTCAGGTACCGTAGTTCAGTGCTAGGACACGTGCTTGGCATGCAGAAGGTGCCAGGTTAAAGCCTTGGCATTTCCACTTAAAGCAAAAGCAAGTTATGGATGGATAGCCTACCTGAGACCCTTGGAAGCTGCTGCCAATCTTGGCTCCAGTGGGCTAGCTGAACCAGTGATGTCACCTAATAGAAGCCAGTTTCCTAGGCTCCTAGCATTGGTTTTTCTCGCCCTGGACACTGAATGTAACTGCAAAGAACAAACACCCAGCCCACTTAGTGTCCCACTACATAGGTGCAATGCTAAATGCAGCCCAAACTCCTTCCCTCCCGCCCCGAGCTCCGCAGTGCAGTGTTTTCATGTGTGTTAAGAAATAAAACCAGTTGTGGATCAGAATACTGTACCATCTGTGCCAGTTACTAAGCTATTAAAGATGTTATTTTTCTTCTTCTTTTGTTCTTGGTGTTGTGAATTGCAAAGGGGGAGAGGAGAGAACAGTGCCGGTGGGTTTGTGCTTGGCTGCTCAGATTTTATTGCCCTTTGAAGACCAAGAAGCTCTTGTTCTGGAGGGATGGCGGGTGTCCAGCTCAAAATATGTAGCTGTTCTAAAACGGACCACCCTGCTCTGGTCTGAATGCTCTCCAGGCAGCTTTTGCACTGGACCCTGGGGAACCCATCTTGCAGCAGGACCCAGTCCATTTGTTCTGGCGAGGAGGGCCGGAGGCTCTAGTGGTCAGCAGCCGGTGAAGAAGAGAGGGCTGCGTAAGAGAGAAAGGGTTCTGCTCTCAAATGAGGTCATGTGCAGTAAGGAGAGTGCAAAGCATTGTGGGAGGGGAAGTGGTGGGGTGCACCTTGGAGAAAGCAGTCTGGTGGGGGTGAGTGTACATCGGCTTCCCGTCTTCAGTGTTGCTGAAATAAGAAGAATGACACACTTGAACAACACGAGAACGGGCCTTTGCTGCAGTGGCTCCCCGTCTGTGGAATGCTCTCTCCAGGGAAGTTCACCTGGCGCCTTCATTATATACCTTTAGGCAGCAGGCCAAAGTGTTCCTTTTTAACCAGGCCTTTGGTTGATTTGATTGACGTCCTATGCCCTTTTAAAATGTGGGTTTTTGGGGGGGGGTATTGAGTTGTTGCTCTTTTTTATTACAGTGGTGCCTCGCAAGACGAAATTAATTCGTTCCGCGAGTTTTTTCGTCTTGCGATTTTTTTCGTCTTGCGAAGCACGGTGTCGGGAAAGCTTTGGAAAAGCTTCAAAAATCACCAAAGTCTTTAAAAACCTCAAAAAAGGCTACCACACCACGTGCTGTGAGTTGCTCCTCGAAGTCAAGTCGCAACTGTATTAACGGTGTTAAGAAAAAGGAAACAAACTTGCAAGACGTTTCCGTCTTGCGAAGCAAGCCCATAGGGAAAATCGTCTTGCAAAGCAGCTCAAAAAACAAAAAACCCTTTCGTCTAGCGGGTTTTTTTGTCTTGCGAGGCATTCGTCTTGCGAGGTACCACTGTATATATTTTGTGGTTTTATTTTTTGATTTTGTTCTGTAAACTGCCCTGAGACCTCCGGGTATAAGGTGGTATATAAATAATAATAATAATAATAATAATAATAATAATAATAATAATAAATGATGATTAATATTGCATGCAAACAGCCTGGGTGTTGTTAGTGCCAGGGTAGCTCTCACCAGCAAGCATAGTCAAGGTTGATGGGAGTTGTGGTCCGGCAAAATCCAGAGGGCACTCCGTTGGCTCCCTCTGTATTAGTGGAAAAGCATAGAAATAAGGGTACATCTTTTGCTAGCCTACGCCTGTTTGTATGGTGTCCCACCTTCTCAGTCCTGAACATGTTCAAACGATAAATACAAAGTTTGTGTGCGTAAAGCCTAATAATCTTAAGAAGGTGGTTAGTTTGTGACCCTCCAGGTCTTCCTGGACTACAGCTTCCATCTTCCCTGACAATTTGTCATGCTGTCTGCAGCCAAAGGCAGAGTCCAACAACATCTGGAGAACTACAGAGTAGCCACCCCGTCTTGTCAGACTTTCAGGGAGTAGGACAGAGCCGCTCATAAACTGGCACTAGGTGGCAGAGTTTCCTAACTTCCCAAAGGATAATTGGATCCAACATTTAGGTTAGGAAAAGATGGGCTTGTGTGGGAATTTGCTACAGAAGAGAAGGGAGCTGGACGAAAAGTAACATCTCAAGACTGACCAGTACATTCTTTTTGCTTCCTAGTTTGTCCTTTTAAAATGCAGCAAAAGTGGGAGTGCTCAGTTATCCATTCTTCCATCTGCCTTGGAGGTCATTGTGACTTATAGTCAACACAAACACATTTTTTGACAGGTGGAGCTTGCAAAGGTGGTGGCCAAATGGAAAGCAAAAACTCTCCAAGTTATTCTTTTAACCCAAGACTTCAGAGCACCCTTTGTTACCGATGCGTGGAACGAACTGTTTCTTCAGTGTGTTATAGAATCCACAGGCCAAGCTGAAAGTGCAAAGTCCTAGCTGTCCTGCCAGTGGCTTGAAGTAATAAGTTCCACTCCCAGCTATTCTTCAAATCTCAGCTTTGAAAAGCCCACATCTGATGCCTCCAACCAGAACGTAAGATGCAAAGAATGTGGTGTCATAACAAGGTCGCCCACAGAACAACTAGCTCTGAAATATTGCAGCAAATGAGCAGGAGTGAGGACAAGGTTTGCTGGCCTCAGGCCCCAAAGTGACTTTTGGGGACTTGATAATGCCTGCCTTGCAAGAGAAGCAGGGATTAGAAGAAGCCCCAGATTCTTTTAAAGTCCCAGCTAGAGAAGGTTTTCATGCTTCTCCCACTCACGGCTTTGAAGGGCTGCCTTTTGAAAGTGCTAGAATACCCACCCATATAGTGTCTCTCCTAAGCCAAGGGACCCCTACTGAGGGAAGTGCTTTTGCCCCCAGCAGTGATTTTAGCCTGGTTCTAGTCAAATTTAGCTTGCATAGTCTCCTAAGACAGACAGGTGCCAACAACCAACCAATAGCAACTTGGTGGAGGCAGTGTTTTAGATTATTTTGAAGGGGAAAGGTTTAAGTGCGCACACACAGCACTATGGCCATAGCAGCATTAAATGTTGAAAACTGGCATTTGCTCTGAAGTTTAAAAAGGTGGAGAGATTCAGTAATTCATTTCCCATGTCATGTCCATTTTAGGCCTCGAGGGGCAGAATTAGTCATAGCACCAGTACAAGAAACTAGAGTGGAATCTACACACATATACAAAATGCCATGAAAATGATTTTTTAAAAAACATTTTGAAAAATACATTGGATTTGGCATAGCTCACTGTCACCATCTAGTGTCACATTCGTATATTGCACATCGCAACACATTTAAAACGTTTTATTTGCAGCTGTGTAGCTGAATCCTTGGAGAAGCATTAAAAACGCCAAGATTAAAAGTGGGTGCCAAAGTTCCTTCCCCCTCCTTTCTCTGCATCTCTTTTTCCTTTTGTGTGTTGTCTTATTAGATTGTAAGCGAGTGGGCAGGGACTATCTTAACTATTTATTAATGAAGGGTGGTATAAAAATTCTTTTGAATAGCAGCTACTGCAGCATATGGGTAAAATGAGACTTAACCCTCTCCTCCCACGCCATGCCGCCCCTGAATACTCAGGGCAGCTGCATTCTTGTGCCAAATAGCAGCTGTGGTGGGGAAGGAGAGTTTTGCTTGGTGCAAGAGGAAGGGTTAAGCTCTTCCTCCCAGGTCACACTGGCTGTGATCCTGACACACACCCTCCCCATGACTGCTATTCAGAGTTTTAAACAGACCCTCACATTGCTGTACGACGACACAACATGTAGCTTGGCCCAAAGGCTCAGATAGCTCTCCAGAACTTCTGAGGAATTTACCTCCTGATCTTTCACCATGTTGTCTAGAGTTGATGAGAGCTGGAATCCAACAACACCTGGAGGGGATCCCATTGATTTCCCCTGGGATCTGTGGACCTCGGTAGTGTATTTAATCCTGTGGAGGATGAGGAAACACAGGCTGCATATACAATACGAGCTGCTCTCAAAGCACACAACTTCCTCCAGTGAATCCTGGTAACTGTGATCTGTTAAAGGTGCTGAGAACTCTAGCATTTTGAGTGACTGATTGATTGATTGATTGATTGATTGATTTGATTTATTATATTTCTATGCTGCTTTTTATTCAAATGAATCCCAAAGTGGCATGCAAACAGTAACGTGACAGAGCAGAACAGAACATCACAAATACGGCATAAACCCTATAGAACAATTAACAAGCCATCAGTGGAACAATTACAATCTATAAAACACTGTTAGCAGAGCAACAACTAAAAAAATCACATCACAATTAAAGCAAAAGCTCTAAGAGTAACAAACCAACACGCCATTTTCATAATCTATAAAACAATATTAACAACAGCAACAAAACAGCAACCAAAAGATAAGCTAAGTTCATACACACATTCTCCACCGGAGTTCCCAGGATTCTTAGCCACGCTGTGACCATATTTCTAATGTTTTGGAACCCTCAGACTACACATAGCAGGAACCTGAAGCCCCCCAGAACCAAGGTCAGCTGGGGAGGGGGCGTGTTTATGCCTTAGGTGAACACCACACATTGGGTGCAGAAACAGGTGAGTATTCTCAATTGCTGGATTAGAGACAGAAGAAATTCCTTTGGAACAGCAGACTGGCTTATAGTGCCTTCAGATTTCAAGAGAGCCTTGTCTGCTTTTGCGGAGAGATCGTTTATTCAGCGGCTATTGGGTTTCCTCTAGCAAAGCTACGTGGAAGCTGCTTTTATTGGCCACCAGTAAGAGGAATTTGGGCTTTAATTCGCACTTAAGCGGTCAACTTGCACTTGCACCAAACCACTTCAGATTGTTCGTGTAATAGACTGCTCCCCCTTGAAGATTCCTATATACCAGAGGTGGGGGGCTTTTTCCGTCCCAAGAACCACTTTCTCTGCAGGGCAACCTTCCATCATGCTACAGGTGGGTGGGGCCAGTGGAAAAGTGGGTGGAGCAATGAATGTAAATTTAATAAATAAAAACAAACAGCCAGGCAAAAACATGCAGGGGGGCAGGACAAGTGCATAGTGTGTCATGAGGATAGTTGTGAGGGCCGGATAGAAAGTCCTGAAGGGCCACATTGGGCCCCAAGGCTTGAGGTTCCCCACCCCTGCTATGCACAGAGAGATAAAAGGTAAAGGTACCCCTGCCCGTACAGGCCAGTCTTGACAGACTCTAGGGTTGTGCGCCCATCTCACTTAAGAGGCCGGGGGCCAGCGCTGTCCGGAGACACTTCCAGGTCACGTGGCTAGCGTGACAAAGCTGCATCTGGCGAGCCAGCGCAGCACACGGAACGCCGTTTACCTTCCCGCCAGTAAGCGGTCCCTATTTATCTACTTGCACCCGGGGGTGCTTTCGAACTGCTAGGTTGGCAGGCGCTGGGACCGAACAATGGGAGCGCACCCCGCCGCGGGGATTCGAACCGCCGACCATGCGATCGGCAAGCCCTAGGCGCTGAGGCTTTTACCCACAGCGCCACCCGCGTCTCTATGCACAGATAGATAGGAAAGCACAAACTGGCCTCTACCTTTGGCTCAAGCTCCTGCCTCCCAGAAAGAGTCAAAGCAAGGAGGATGCTCGCCTGGCCCCATCCATCGGCTCCTTCCTGACATCAGCTGCCAGTTACCTTGTGGTTGCAAAGGGGAAGGGGGCACAATCTGGCTCCTGCTATTGACCAGGACCCTTGAGGCTTCTGGGAGGCTGCACATGGGCGTAGGCAGGATTTTTGTTGGGGGGGGGCAAGACTTGGTTGGGGGACAGAACTCTTGTGATTGCTCAGTTAAGTATTTCTATTCTTTTACTTGATCAAGGGGGTCTGACTCTGCCCATGAAGCTGCAGACCCTGGCCTCTTAAGCAAGAGAGGGAGTGACCTGGCTCTATCCATAAGGAAGTAGAAGAACAACTGTGCCTCCGCATCCCTTCCCTTTTTTCCTTTTGCATCATGTCTTGGGTAATCTTGTGTCCTGCTTCAGATAGGACGGTCCTCCGATGGCGTCCTCTAGTTCAGGGTCCAGGAAGCTTTGGCCCTCCAGATGTTGCTGAAGCACATTTCTCATCAACCCCAGCCAGCATGGCTGGTAATCGAGGTTGATAGTTCAACAACATCTGGAGGGCCACATGTAAGAAGAAGAAGCGAAGTACAGTAATGGCATTAGCAGTTAGGATCTGGGCAGTCACAGAACTCACAGCCTTCCCCACCAGGGTGAGAAGTATTGCATTTTTAGTTAATAATGTTCAGGAAAACTCCAGGCCAACAAACATTTTTCTCGATGCAGGAACATCTTCCGTAAGGCAGAACATTCACATCACCTGAATGTGTGTGTGTGTGTGTGTGTGTGTGTGTGTGTGTGGAAGAGAGAGCACTTTGTGCTTAAACAAATCCAGAGTGCTTTCTGAGCAGCCTTGCTCTGAGAAACTTCAAGCCCTTCGGATGATCGTGAGCCCAGTGTTGTTATTTCAGCACCGCAGAAGTTCACCTTTCTGTTTGCCTTTTGCCGGAGAAGGGGTTCCAACGGATTGGAGTCTGTGTTTATCTGGGAACGGGTTGAGAGGGTTTGGAAAGAGTTGAAAGGAAACTCAGGCTACATGGTTCTCAACCCCTTTGGGAAGAAGCGTTTGAACTGTAATCCTGAGGCAGGGATGGGCCTGGGGTTTCACGTTTCCCTTCAGTTTGCATCTGTGGAGCCGACTTGTTTGGAGAGGTGCTCTGACAGGAAACGGCGGAGGCGCAGCTGATGGTACCACACAACTCTCTGGAGACAGCAGCCCTGACTGACCAGCATCCTCTAGGATTTGAAGGCAGTAGAGCCACCCTGTTTGCCTTGCAGAGAATGCAGAACTGGCTCCTGCCCCTAGGAATTGCCTGAAGAGGAAAAGGCAGGGATGCATTAATCATGTTTAGAATGGATTTAAGGGGGCTGGGGGGTAAAACAGTGGTTCCCAATTAAGTTTTTTTAACTTCCAAAATTATGCCCTTGTGTAAAAGGCGAAAGATTTATACGATCTGAAGAGAAACCAGAGTATCCTTCTAGCAAAGTACTGGAAGACACAAGATCTACCCACGTTGGAAGAATGGCAGACGAAGGTGATTGATTATATGGGACTGGCAGAGATGACTGGCAGAATCCGAGACCGGGGGAAAGAGGCGGTGGATGAAGACTGGAACAAATTTAAAGTTTATCTTAAAAACTGTTGTAATTTGGAAAATTAGAGGATCAGGGTAATAAGAGATAAAGAACTACAGTTGTTTTAATATCTTATGGAAGTTAAATTTATGAAATAGAAATAAGTTCAATACGAAAGGGTTGCTGAAAAATCTTGAAACAAGAATGCAGAAAAGGGGTGGTACGGGGAAGTCGTTTTTGTGTTTATCTATGTTTTTGCTTTGTTTTCTTTTTTACTTATGGAAAATTAATAAAAATTTATTTAAAAAAAACAAAAACAAAATTATGCCCTTGTGCGTGAATAGGACACATCCCTTGTTTTGGATTATACTGCTCAAACATAGGCATAAAACATAGTATACTGCTCAAACATAGTATAAAAGTGGATGCCCTGAGGTTTTCACCAAAACTAATGAACAAGGTGCTAGTCCTTATGCTGGAAAGATAAATTGAGTTGGGGGACGACGACAAAAAATGTCCCCAGTGAAATCTCAGTAGCTGGGATGGGGTTGAGGAGGAACACCAGATACACAGGCTGTGCTTTAATGCTCTGTGTAGTCCAGCCCACCACTGCCAAAAAAAGAGAGATTTTGAGAACAGCTAACAGGCTGCAGTACACAAGAAGGCAGTAAAAGTCTCAGTGGACTTTAAATAAATAATATGTGGAGAAGCCGAGTGAAAAAGAGAGTTCCAGAGCAGACAAATGAAGGATACAGAAGAGTCAAGGCAAGTTAGTATTGTTAATTCGGAGTTTTTCAAGAAATACCAAAGGTCACATCCACATCAGACATCACTTGCTGGAGAACTTGTAACAGAGGGTCCAGTTTGTGGGGATGGGCTAGCACTGGATTTACATGTGCCCAGCAAGGATTTGGCCCAGAAGCCATACAAGGACCATCAACTCCATTGAATCTGTGGACTAGGGAAGGAACTGCTCATTTAAAGCTCATGGCTTACCCCCAAAGAATCATGGGAACTGTTGTTTGTTACGGTTGTTGGTTCTTTTGAGCTACATTCCCACTATACGGAATTTGACAACTGGACAACGTAAATGGATTCTTCGTGCCCTTACTATGGCCAACTGTTCTTTTAAAAAATTCATAAAATAAATCAAAGTATGGTTTCTGGGAATTGTACTTCTGTGAGGGTTAAACTATAGCTCCCAGAATTCTTTGAGGGAAGCCAGGATTCTTAAAGTGGTATAAATGTGCTTTAAATGACTGGTGTGTATTTGGTCACAGCAGAAATAATGGCAATGAGTGGGAGAAGGCAGGATGCACAGAATGGTGGGAGCAGAAATGTATTGCTCCATTTTTATTTTTAGAGAATCTTAGAATGTCAATAATTGGAAGTCACCTCAGAGATCATCTACTCTTTCTTCTTCTTTGGCGATCACTCACAGCCGAGTAAGATTGTCTTCCATGAACCCGGTCTTAAAAGAGAGTCCGTAAGTGATTGTGGAGGCCAATTCTGGATCCACACGTCCTTCCACAGTGGGGAAATAGGTTTTTGGACGGGAGTTGATCACAGTGAGGGTTTGCCAAGTGTGCCTTCCTCTTAGCACGTTTCTCCCTTTTGTCCTGAGTTCGAGCGCCTTCACCTTTGGTAAAGGCTGTTCTCTAATTGGAGCTCTCACAGGCCAGTGTTTCCCAATTGTCAGTGTTTATACTACATTTTTTTAAGATTTGCCTTCAGAGAATCTTTAAACCTCTTTTGTTGACCACCAACATTAGGCTTTCCATTTTTAAGTTTGGAATAGAGTAGTTGCTTTGGAAGATGATAATCTGGCACCCGCACAACATGACCAGTCCAACGAAGTTGATGTTGAAGAATCATTGTTTTGATACTGATGATCTTTGCTTCTTCCAGTCGCCTTCTCAATCTGGCCCACAGACGGTTCGGGAATCAGCGTGTTTTTACATGAGTAGAATGTGTCCTTTTATTTAAAATGCATCTCTGGGTTATTTGTGGGGCATAGGAATTCCTTCTTTCTTCTTCTTCAAAATATAGTCCGGCCCACCACATGGTCTGAGGGACGGTGGACCGGCCCACGGCTGAAAAAGGCTGCTGACCCCTGATACTCCAACCCTCGACTCAGTACAGGATCTACAAGGCAGGAGGCAACTGCAGCAGGGGCAGGGGCGGCTGGTACCCACTGCAGCTGGTAGGGTGAAAGGCAGGGAGCCGAACCGTAGGTGGCGCTGGAGCCAATGGCACACAGAGCCCACTAATTCTAGTTTTGTCTCTTCCTCTCTCATGAGAACACGGGAGGCTAGGGAGGAGGCAGCTGACAGGCGAGGAGACCATCAGTAGGTGGAGCCAGAGCCAATGACAGGCAAAGCCAACTCATTCTGGTAAGGTCCGCATCCTCTGGCCTGGATGGCAGGATGGAAGGAAAAGGGTGGACAGTGGAGGGTTGGCTAAGGGCAGACTGGAACTGGTGGGGCACCAGGGGCAGTGCCCCATTTGCCTTAATGGACTTACACTACACTGAGCTTACAACCCCCAAATACAGCGTTAGAGAAGCGCGCGTAAAAGAGACACACACAACTGCAAGGGGGAAAGGCGCGCGCGGGGGGATAATCCCCAAATCACTTTATTGCCCCCAAATCGTGAGGATGAGGCTGCAATCCAGCACACGTGTACCCGGGGTGCAAATCTCACGGAACTCAGCGGGGCTTGCTTCCGCGTAGATACGATCGTGCAATGATGCTTTTAGCTTGGCGTCTGGGGGGAAAATGCAAACTATTGTAAAGGGAGAATATGTTGTACTCCATCCAGTTACGCACACTTTCAGTAGGAATTGCTTTTAAGGGGAGGCGTCGGAGGAAGAGGGGACCTCCTTGAACCCTCGCAGCAGAAGAGGAAAAGACTCCGTCTCGCTCGAGTCCTGAGCGAACAAGTTGCGGATCCAACTCCAGGCTCCGCGTTGGCTGAGGGACAAGGCGCTGGAGGCGCTAGGGCCGCGCGGTGGCCGGGAAGCCGGAATGGCCATGCAGGCAACCGAGGGGAGGGACGCGAATGTGAGCAGCCGAAACCGCTAGATCCAACCCATCCCAAGCGCCGCCGCCGCCGCCGGACATTCCCCACTGGCGGCGCCCCGGAGCCCAGAGCTCCCCTCCGGCCATGCAGCGCGCAGCCCCGGGCAGCGGGCAGGCGCCGGACGCAGCCGAGCTTCGGGCAGACGGCCGCGCTCCTCGGCCGTTGCTCCCTTCGAGGGAGGTGTGACGGGCGGGTAGAGCCCCCGGGCCGGATCCGGGGCTCGGCGGACGCCCTCCCGGTTCATGTCAGCGCGCCGCCGCCGCCGCCTGCGCTTCTGAAGCTGCGCCTTCCTCCTCCGAGCCGGGCGCCCCCTCGAGGGATCCTTGCGCGGCGCTCCGGGCCCCGACGGCTGTTGGGCTCCTCCCGGGCTGGGGACTGGACGCAGCCCAGCTAAGGATGGGCTGACAGGCTTGGGACGGTGCCGCTGCCGGGAGCCGTCGAGGATGCTCTGGCCGGCCGCGCTGCTCCTGCTGGCGGCGCTGTGGTGCTCCGGGGGAGCGCGCAGTTGCCCCGTCCAGCTGCGCGGCTGCAAGTGCGTGGGCGAGCGGGCCAAGGGGCTGGCGGCGGCCAGGAAGAGGGTGAGCTGCAGCGGCGAGGAGCTGGCTGAGCCGCCGGCGCCCCGGCTCTTGCCCAACAGCACCGTCACCCTGTGAGTAGCGCCGGCGGGGACTGCGCGCGGGCGGGCGGCGGGCGGGCGTGAGATCTCACGGGGTGGGGTGGGCAGAGACCCCACCAGAATTGGCCCCGGCTCTGATCCCGGTGATGTCGCTCTGGACATGCTCAGAGGCTGCGCGTGTGCAAAGCGGAAAGGCTGTAGCGGAAAAGTCCGACATCTGTTTAAGGTGGTTAGTTGGGGAGCGTTTTGAACGCCCTCGGAGGTTATACTGCTTCCCATATCCAAAAATATTTAAACAGCTTTGTTACAATTTTCCTTTTGACTTAATTTCTTTTTTATTCATTTATTTTTAAACGAGTTTTTCTACAGAAAAGAAAAGACAAAACACACACACATCCTTTTGACTTAATTTCATTGGCTTAAATTGTCGCTGGATCTGTTTTTTGTTGTACATGAGTCTCTTAGAGTTACTTGTTGGGTGTGTTTTTTAAAGTGACTGATAAGTTTGGTAATAAAGTACATAGCAATGTAGAAATCCACACTTTTTGAAATCTGCAGTTCAAAAAAAATGAAACGAAAGAACCCAACTCCATCCCCTCCCTTTGACCTTAATCCTCCAATTATTATTACATTATTATTATTATTATTATTATTATTATTATTAGGAATTGGGGATAATCTCGGGAGACTTTCAGCTGATCCAGAAGCCCCAATGTTTAGCTTCCACAAGATTTATTCAAATTATAGCAAAGAGCAGCTGAGGGACATGCCATCTGAATGCTCAGGAGCATGGAGGGAGTGAAGATTGTGGTTACTGAATAATATTAATGGGACCACGCTTTATTTAGAAGTATTTATAGATCACAGTGGTCGGATAGGCATATGTGGGTACATTTGCACATGGCCAAAGCAGGGGGGGGTGTTAAGGGGTGTCCTGGAGGCCTGAACATTAAAAGAAAAAAGAAGAAAAAACGCTTACAGAATTACTGGGTGCACTGTGAGACCTCAGTCCCTCACCATCTTAACTTGCCTAGAGGCATCTGTACATTAACGTTACCAGTCCCCCCCCCCCGCAATGAATCCAGGGACATTTTTCAACTTCAGGGGATTTTGTCAGGGGACTGATTTGTAAATCCGGGGACTGTCCCCAGGAAACGGGGACATCTGGTAACCTTACTGTACATACAGTGGTACCTCGGGTTACAAACAACTCAGGTTATAGACTCCACTAACCCGGAAGTAGTAACTTGGATTAAGAACTTTGCCCTAGGATAAGAACAGAAATCATGCGGCAGCAGCGGGAGGCCCCATAAACTAAAGTGGTACCTCAGGTTAAGAACAGTTTCAGGTTAAGAACAGACCTCCGGAACGAATTAAGTTCATAACCAGAGGTACCACTGTATGTATTAGGTTTGTTGTTGTTGTTTAGTCGTTTAGTCATGTCCGACTTTTCGTGACCCCATGGACCAGAGCACGCCAGGCACACCGGTCTTCCACTGCCTCCCGCAGTTTGGTCAGACTCATGTTTGTAGCTTCGAGAACACTGTCCAGCCATCTCGTCCTCTGTCTTCCCCTTCTCCTTGTGCCCCCAATCTTTCCCAACATCAGGGTCTTTTCCAGGGAGTCTTCTCTTCTCACAAGGTGGCCAAAGTATTGGAGCCTCAGCTTCAGGATCTGTTCTTCCAGTGAGCACTCAGGGCAGATTTCCTTAAGAATGGATAGGTTTGATCTTCTTGCAGTCCATGGGACTCTCAAGATGGGACAGAACAGGTCACGCTTCCCTCAATTTGACTCACCCCCTGCACACACACTTTGCCTTTCCAAGGCATCGTGGTAAAAATGGGATCCAGTAGAATTAATCTGAGATTTGGAAAGCACCCTGCTCTTCTAAGGGAGGAAAATGCCACCCCCTTTGCCGCCACATGGCAGCGGTGCTTGTGTGTCAGTGAGTGCAGTGTAGATGAGTGAGTTCAGAGGCTTAATGGGTGCCATTGCGCCCAGGGGCACCACCTGTAAACTGAGATGCCCAGGTCCTTCGCTCCTTGCTAGCAGATGGAAACAACTTGAAACAGAGAGTTGAGTCTTGCAGCGCCTAGGCTTAAAAGTATCTGCTATTGAAAATAACATACCAAAATGCATTATAGTAGGGAAATCCGCTTTGCAAAAATGTGCACAATAGGCAAAATTGCACACACACAAATACGTTTATTGGGGGGGAATTCAGCTCCAACAGTGGCACATCCTTGGCTTTGCTAAGGGCAGAGTTTTACACCTCTGTGTCAGAGGCTGTTGGAAGCTGCAGGAGAGGAGAATGTCCTGCTCTCAGGTTTCCCACTGGGGCATCTGGAGAACAGGATTCTGGAATAGATGGGCCCCTGACCTGATCCTGCAGGCTCTTCTTGTGTCTTGAAAGCAGGCACCCTGAAAGGTCTGTCTCTGTGCCATCGTCGTCCCCCAATCCCTCAACTATATATGTTCTCTCATTTTGTCAATTCCACAGCAGTCATATCAAATGTTATTCATTGGCTGAGTATGCACCATACATTTAAAGGCTGTCGTTTATCCCTCACAGAGCCACAAATCACTGCATGCTTAGCAAACTACAGTTTCCAGGACTCTTGGTGGAGTCAGATATGCTCAGTGCTATTTTTCTAGAAAAAGAGGTGCCAGAACTCACCACAAACATCTCCCCTGTTCTCTTAAAATGGCAATGGCACCCACCTGAGAGGTGCAGGAACTGAGTTCCTGTGAGTTCCCCCTGGGGAAAAAGCTCTGGGTATGCTTTATATGTCTGGTGTGTATGCAGCCATGTTCAGAGTAGTCCCATTTGCCACATAGGTTCCTAATTCCATTGATTTCAGTGGTTCTGCTGTGAGGATGGCCTTGTTCAGGGGAATTTGTTTTAGGATTGTCATACGTCCTTAATTTCCTGGACATAGCTGGATATTTTGGCGAATTTCCTTAAAAATAGCTTTAAAATTTCAGAGAGAGGGAGAGGGAGAGAGAGAGCACAAAAAGGAAAACTCAACAGCTTCAGGCAAAACTAAAGCAAGCTCAACAATTTTGCCCAAAACAAACAACTTTTGTGTCCTTTTGAAGTATGGCACCCCTAATTTATTTATTTGCATTTATATCTCACATTTTCTCTAAGGAGCTCAAGATGGCGTACATGTTCCCCCCCCTTTAATTCCCACAATCACCCTGTAGTTAGACAGAGTGGCAATGACTGGCCCAAGGTTGCCCAGTGAGTTTCATGGCTAAGTGAGCATTTGCACCCAGGTCTCTCAGGTCTGACACTCTGACCACTACATTGGTGCTTCTAGATGCTGTTGGACTACAACTCCCATCATCCCTGAGTACAGTGGTACCTCGGGTTAAGAACTTAATTCGTCCTGGAGGTCCGTTCTTAACCTGAAACCCTTTTTAACCTGAAGCACCACTTTAGCTAATGGGGCCAGCGTGCCGCCGGAGAACGATTTCTGTTCTCATCCTGAAGCAAAGTTCTTAACCTGAGGTACTATTTCTGGGTTAGCGGAGTCTGTAACCTGAAGCGGCTGTAACCCGAAGTACCACTGTATTGGTTGTGCTGACTGAGGCTGATGGGATTTGGAGTGCAACAGCTTCTGGAGGGCTACAGCTTTTTCTGTCAACTTTTAAAAAAGACATTTGGTTAATCTTTGCTGTCTCAGTTTTCTTGCTGCAGGAACTCCTTAAAAGTGTTTGATATTGCTAACTTGAGCGTATATTAGGTCCTCCAGCCTTTAAGCAATTGTGCTTTTGTTCTCTTTCTGTTACCATCCTAGTTAGCTGCCTTGAGACTCGTTGGAGAAATAGGTAGGAAATAGATTTTTATAAATAAATAAATACATTGGAGTCTTGGCAGCTGTCGCCAACGAGGCGTTTCACAATAGTCTAAAAAGATTTCTAAACCAACTCAATGCTCAACACGAACAATTCATTCCAAATGATCCAGCAATGCATATAAAGGTTTGAATGGAAGCACAGGAACTTATGAAATACAGTTCTGGAATCTTCCTTTCAACGTGTGTGTCAGGAAGCCGTACTTTGTTTTTTCAGAGATTGGGAGCAGCCATTGCTTCTTTATCCCAGAATCCTAGGTGCGCGTCGTGATTTTTGTACTGTCTGGGAGGGGCTCTGGTCTCATCCACACCCTCCATTTAAAGCATTCTTATGCCACTTTCAGCAGCCATGGCTTCCCCTAAAGTCTCCTGGGATCTGTCATTTGATAAGAGCCCTGGGAACTGGAGCTTTGTGAGGAGCCTTCTAACAGCGCCCTTAACAAATGATGTTGCAGCACAAATTTAAAGCACATTAAAATTAAGGTCCCCTCCATATGTCCTTTTTATTGTGCAGCTATGAAGATTTGTGCTGATGATGGTACTGGGGCAATTCTATGCAAACCTGCTTTCAGTTCTGTTTGTACTTCCAGAAGTTTCAGCACAGGCATGCCTCATTTCCAACCAGTGCATGTTCCACAACTTCCGTTTGAAACCTTGAACTTTTCATGTTCTGCAGTGTTTTTATTTGGTTTCCTTTTCCCACTTTTGGTGCACCATATATAGCATGAGTGGCCCACCAGGTGGCAATAATGGGGGAGGCATTGCAGTGGAACCGTGTGTGGACAGTCCAGTTTAAACCCGCCATGGTTGCGTCACTATTGCATCAGTGATATGTTGCAGAACACCCCCCCCCAAAACCTCACCAGTCTGGAGGGAACCCTAAGTCGAGGGCTAGGAAATAGGATACAGTACTAAAGTTGTTGGGTTTTGCTTTTTAAAAAATTGTTTCCTACTGCTGTAGTTTTTTCTTATGTTGTCTTTGTTTTTATCATTTATTGTGTATTTAAACTGATGTAAAGCCATTTGGGAGGGACGCGGGTGGCGCTGTGGGTAAAAGCCTCAGCGCCTAGGGCTTGCCGATCGAAAGGTCGGCGGTTCGAATCCCCGTGGCGGGGTGCGCTCCCGTTGCTCGGTCCCAGCGCCTGCCAACCTAGCAGTTCGAAAGCACCCCCG